TTAATATCTCTGTTATTGAATGCTAAAGAAGTTGCATTCAAAAGTGCAGGTGAATAATCTATGATTACTTGTTTCGGAATCGATCCTCTGGAACGCAACCACTCTCGCATCCAATACGTTAATGTGTTGGTATCGTGCTTTTCGGAAATCAACTGAAATAAATGCAAAATCTTCTGGCGATAACCACAAACGGCCTGGTAAAGATAAACGACTCGTTTCGAACCGTCGGGTTTTGGAATCTGTTTTACTAGTCCGGCAGTTGCATCGATACTAATACTACCAATATTATCTTCGTTCTGAAATTTTTTATACAGAAATAGCTGTGTAGGACTCCAATACATCACATAAAAATGATCCAGCCCAATCTCATAAATACAACCATTAAATTCTTCACCATACTTCATGTCCCACACTGAAGTAAGAGCCGCTTTAACTTTAAACAATCCCAACTCTTTATCTTGAGTTTCCTGTTTTATTTTACGCGTAACATCTTCCGATGGTAGGTTGGCCGGTGCAACATCTCCAAAATCCATTAATTTATTAGCTTCATTCCGTCGCCAAGCGTAAGTAGATGTACCTTGTAATTCTTTTCCAATGCGCATTCGTCTATCACCACGAACTTGCCGCTTCTTTTCATGTACGATAATGCGAGAATCGAAGGTAGAAATATATAAAATCGGAGTATCTTCAGTGGGTTCGGTTTTACAGTATATATGAATTTCGGAATTGCATTCCGAGCAACTACCTTTAATCGACAAGAATATCTCGCCAGGATTTCGATTTATTTTTGCATTTTTAAACGCGAAGGGACAGGGCAATTTGAGATGACTCCATAAAATGTCGTATACCGCGTCAGACCAACCAATAACGAGTACGTCGTATTCGCGATCTTTGTATTTTGCGATATTTAATTTCAAACTATCCCATTCGCTTTTCGACAATGTGATTGATGTCCGCAGAGGTGGTAATACGCAATTTGTTTTACTCATCGACCAATTTGGATCGTCTTTCAAATTGTCTGATACCGTTGTATCGAAACTTTCGTCTTTGGCATATTCGAATGTTTCGATTGTTACGTCGCGAGCGAGAGAGAAACGGCGCGCGACGTACAAAATAAAAAAAAACGAAAAACGAGAATTTTACTATGTTTTATTATGTTGGCTGATACGCGGTTGAGAACGGTATTATCGCTGCCACCAGTCCTAATCGTTTGAGACGATGTTAGGTCCTTCACGATTAGAACAATAAAAGAGTTGATAGATTAATTAATAGTTAATTAAGAATTTAATTGGGTTCGTCAATGCTCTAGTCCCATACGGGCCCCTCGTGTGAATTTGTACGAAGATGGTAGGCGTGAAAATGCAGGAAAAGAAGTGGTTTGAAACGTAAATGAATTAAAACAGTTTAGGCGTAACAAAAATATAATCTCAGAAAAGTAAACGTGACAATAAAATGGTTGGTTAACAGAAAATGCGAGCTGTTTGAAATACAAGGGAAAATAAATGCATTGTTAAGAAAGGTTTGGATTATATGAAAGTGAGACTATTGATTATGGAATAATTGATGTTTGATTAAACGATTCAACGATTCGAGCGACGATGTCGTATACAGAATTAAACGCGAACAAAAGGAAAGAACGGTCCCAGAGGGTAAACTACCAGAATCACGGTTTCGTGGGGCCGCCTTCTTTTGTGTGAAATCGGAATTTTCTAAATATTTTAAATATTCGATACCTTATGTCTCTATTGTGAACGGAACGATCTAGAGGGAAACTTTCCAGAATACGCGGTTTCGTAGATCGCCCGTTTTGCCTCGCTACGTCCAGATTCGTCGTATTAGATAAAATGAAATGGACAACTTACCAGGAAACAAGATGAAATAATATCTGATAATACGTTTGATTGTTTGCTTATTCGCTGGTATCGTTGAGAAATCTGGAAATCAAAGAAAAGATGAGGAAACTGCCACTGCACTACGCGTTCGCGATGCGTGTTACGAGGCGAATTCAAACTATTACAAACGAACACAAAGTATTTTTAAATCAACGCGGCGCGGAAAAAGAAAAAAAAATAATTAATACACGAGACGATATAAAATGAAAGAGAAAAGATAGAATTTTATGAGTATGAAAAGAATTTAACGTATCCGTTTGAGTCCTTGTCACAAAACCCCGAACCGAAACTCTCTCGACACTCTGCCTTGAAGAGGACTTGCCGAGCAATCTAATTACGCGGTTTTGATTAACAACTCTATCTCTACGCGAACACGGGCTCCCCGTCACGCACCTTGCGACTTATCGACGAAGAGTGATTTGCCTCAGTCTAGCGATCGTGTCTCAGGGTTCGACCCGCGATCAAGGGCCCAAAGTGGGGACATCATTTGGCAAATCGGGGTACGTGACGGAGGGGAAATCCCACGCGTATTGGGCTAGTTGGCCGCTCTTCCTAGTTCCCTCATCCCTTCCTGGCTTTTCCTTCTACCTTCGTCCAAGGTTGTCCATTTCTTTCTACCCCTCTAACGCTACAACGGATTTCATGCGTCGCAATTCTAAAGTTCTGGAATATTCGAAATCTGTTACGACTTAATTTATTTGAATTTGCTAATTAAAGAGGCTTCTATCATGATATTTCCGGTATCGAAAGAGGTCTTCATTTTATTAAAAATATTTAGTTTACTAGTTTGAATGACCATTAGTTGAATATCGTTAATTATTATTCATACGTTAATTGTTCTGTTAATTTTGTTGTTTAGCGGTTTACGCGAGATGCAGCCGGTGTTTTATAATCGTCGACAAATTGTGGATACATGCGTGTCGCATTTAGTTAATATTCATTTCGCTCTTATTAGTTATTAACATTCCTATTCGTATCTCGACGATTTACGTATATTCGAACGTTCTACGTTTAACGTTTAACGACGATGTTTATAGACTCGGTCGACCTTTGTCTCGAACATCCGTGAACGATTTCGAACTACAGTGGTTGTCACGCAAACCCTCGCATTCTAATATCATTCAAACAGTTTCATTCCGTTAAATTCCAATCGCTTTGTTCTTAATCACACGCACTCCTCGTGGAAGGACCGGCTGACGCATGCTTTGGAGGTAGGAGAGGTACTTCGTTGCGAAGTAAAACAAAAATCGTATTTCCCTTATTCCGCGCGGTTAAGCTGGGAAACTTCCAAGTGCGTCGCACTGCTTAACCGCGTGGCGAAAGATGTTGATAGTACCTCTCCTTAACCTTAGCGATTTCGAATTTCTATGTGTTTATTGCTACGCGGTTTCGACAAGGCAATCGTCCCAAGGAAGGTTAATTTCTTATTGTTTGAAAAGAACTAATTATAGCCTCCTTTGTGTGCCTCGCCTGGGATTATCTCCAAGTGCTGCGCACCGACGAGGTACACGAATTCAGTATATTATACGATTAAACTATTCAACACTATCAAAAAGAAAATGAAAATAAATGTTAACCACGGTCGGATTATTGAAAATAATCCGGACGTAACACGATTTTATGTATTTGGTCAAAAACATTATTTCTATTTTTTGACAAATAAAGGTAGATGTAATCCTTTGTCATTGTACCTTTTAATGCATGAACCGCTTTTGTCCAAACGTCATTATCCCATGCTAAAAGTTTACCTTCATTATCAATAAACCAAAGCTCTTTTAGGCCGCGTTCAGACTATGCAACTTAGTTGTACAACTTTCCGTGCAACTTCGGGTCCAAATTTTTGTGTTTCTGGCCGTGCCTGTACCAGGTATGCCGCCCGAAATAGGAAATGGTTTTCTCTTGTAGAAATACCAACTTCCGTATTTTTTATCAGATCTTTGCGGAAGCGACGTCAATCGATTCCTTATGTTTTTGCGATCAAAATGAAACCAGGGTTAATCTTCTTTTCTTTCTTTGAACGTGACCGTTCAAGGGGGCCGGTATGTCGCGTAGCGAATTCTTTGTAGTATAAGTTACCGTAGCAGCAATACCTGTCCAAGGAACCGTTACTTATCAAAAATTAGTTTATTAACACGCTATACCCAGTTTCGAAGCCGAGTCATAATTTTTTATGTTATTCAGATGTGCGTCAAAGGTCGAGGTGTTCCTTGGGTTTATTACTCACTACGGTCATAAATAGGACCCTTCATACCCCTGCGTGGGCACTCAAGGATTGCCCGGAATTTCGAATGACCATCGGAAGGGACAAAATTTCCCTTATATGCATGGGCAAATTTTCGACACCAACCCCTCCCTTTTTCAACAACCAATCAGTATGCACAAATTCTTGTAACCGCCACAACGTAGCGCTATAAATATAACGACAGGACAACGAACACCAGACATCATTCTACGAAAGCAAGCATAGAACACGAATAAATCGAAGTTTGAGTTATCCAGAGTATCATTCTACCAACATCCATACAGTCCACTTTGAAGAACAAAAATTCGCGCAAGGTTAATTCGGCGTGCGAAGTACGGGTTCCTCTGTTCAGTTCGAATAGAAAACACGTACGCAACATTGGTCCTTCGAGCCGGATCTCGGTGAGAAAGGAAACTGGTGCAGGAACCATCAAGGCTGTGATTAGGCTAATCAACGCATCATCCTTGAAAGCCGAAACACTGTGGTGGAGACTAAACCGTAAACAACTCCAACGTTCATTCATCTCGAGCTGGACCTCTGTACAAAGGGGGCAGATCAACGACACCACCGTAGGACCACACGTCATCGGTGAGACCGACATATCCAAGGAGCAGCCGTATCGGACACCCAAATAAGGAAGCAGCCATACTCGGACACCTTAACAGGGGAAGCAGCCGTCGGCCGGTGGATAATTCAGGAAGGATACATCGAATCATCATCGAGGAAGCACATCAGCATCACAATCGTTCCAGGAGTTCGAACGTCGGTAGGGTGAGTCTACGAATCACCAATCCTTTAACATACTTCCCGTAGTATAAAATAGCATCGATCTCGATCTCGTTCGTTATATTACTCATAATTGTAACATGCCTAATACACAAGAGTCAGCTCAATTGAAGGTTCTTAGGAAACAACGGGCTTCGATAAAAGCACAGATTACGCGTATAGAGTCCTATTTGAATGAGGGAGAATATTTCGACGTGCATGATTTACAAAGTCGTAAGGAAAGGGCAATAGAGTTAGGCAGAAAATTCGAAGAAATTCAGTTGAGTATAGAAATAGAAGACGAAGAATCGGATCATAATGTCGAAAGGGAAAATTTTGAACGTAACTATTTCAGAATAATGAGCATCATTAATAGACGGATTGAGGGATTTCGAGCTCCGCACACATTGATAAATTCCGGTAGAGTCACAGAGTCGCCAAATACTGTAATGATAAGACAAGAGAGCACGCTTCTACCAAAAATAGAGATCAAACGATACGACGGTAATCCAATTGAGTGGCATAGCTTCCACGATACCTTTAAAACAGTAGTCCATGATAATCAAGACATACCATCGGTGCAAAAATTCCATTTATTGAAAAATGCGTTACGTGGGGAAATCGCGTCGGTAATTTCCGCTTTAAATGCGTCGGAACCCAACTATCTGGTAGCTTGGGAGTTGTTGCAAAGACGGTGCAATAAACCGCGACAAATAGTTCAGTCTCATTTAAAGGTTTTGTTTGAATTAACGGAGGTAACGCGTGATACACCCGCGAATCTAAGATCCTTGGCGGAACAAGCACAAATGCATGTAGAGGCACTCGCGACATTAGGTCAACCTACAACACACTGGGACGCAATATTAGTTTATTTGATAGGCAAAAAACTAGACAAAAATACACGGCGCGGATGGGAACGCACTTTAGAAATCGACGAGATGCCAACGTTCGAGCAATTATTGAAATTCATAAATAAACAGGCGCGCGGTGAAGAGCTCGAAACGGAAGTTCCTACTACATCTAGGGGAACCGACCGATTTCAACGAAATAGGGTCAGTTCTAAGGGTCACACTTATGTAGCAATGGCGAACGTTAATAAATGCGTAATGTGTAAAGACAATCACGAAATATATCAATGTAAACAGTTTTTGCAAGCAGCAGTTCGCGATCGGTTAGATGTTATAAAAAGAAGCAGATTATGTCTCAATTGCTTTCGATCCAACCACTTAGTTAGTAATTGTCAAGCTAACGGTTGCAAAAAATGTAATCAGAAACACAATACCTTACTACATTTTAACAACGAGAACAGAGTAAATACTAGTAATAATACTACACAAGTAGAAAACCAGGCATCAAATTCAGGAACGAATGCGACCGCATTAACGGTTACATGCGGTTCCGAAGTATTACTGGGTACAGCTCGGGTTAAAATATTAGACAAATTCAATAATGAGCATGATTGTCGTGTGTTATTAGATGGAGGGTCACAAACTCATTTCATTACAAACGAATTAGCAGAGAAATTACAGTTATGTAACGTCCCGGAATTATTATCGCGAGTACGCTACTGCACCGACTGCGTAGGGAGAGCGGTTCCCTATAAGAAGGCGTCTCGTAAATAATTATATAATGAAGGGATCATAGGTTCGGGTGGTGCGCGGTAAAGGAGTGAAATCCAACGTTAATTCCTTTCTCAAAAATCGTAATGAGTGTTTATTCAAGAAAGTTGTGTGTTGTGTTTGTTTATAATATGTATATAAAAAGAAAAGGTAAGTAATTATTTGAGTTATATAAAAAGGTGATGAAAATAATATAAAGAATTAATGTAATCAGTGTACAAACGTTGCGCTCTGTTTTGAAATACAAAAAGGAAAATTAATTATATTAGTTACAATGAGTGCGCCCTGTATATAAAAAAATACAAAGAAAAATAACAAAATAGTTTGACCTAAAATAAAATACAAAGAAAAAATTTAATTGATTAGTAAACGCGTCTCTAGATACGATTATAAAAATTCTAAATCTATAACTTGAATTTATAAAATAAAATTTATTCAAATAAATTGTTCGATTGTCGAGGAGTTGGCGTGGATCCGTTCCGACACTGTAGGAGCTAACCCGTTCGGCCGCAGTACGATTTCTGAGCAACTTAGCCGTCACTGATAGGCCGCATCCAAGGAGCTTCTGCTTTCGCTCGCTCGTTAAGCTTGGTTGCGAACACTGCAGGACGGTATCGTCGCTCTAGAGCCAGTGTGCTAATAGGCCGCATCCAAGGAGCTTCGGCTTTCGCTCGCTCGTTAAGCTTGGTAGCGAACCTGACACGTATGAAAACCGCTACGAACCGGTGGTCGAGCGCTCCGGGTCTGACACAGAACCTTTGCCGCCTCGCCGACAAAAGAATCTAAGCTACTGGAAACCTATGTAGTAATCGTATCATAGATCCGTGTCGGACTACGATCAGAATCGAAGTGGGATAGCTCCTCGCGGCACGCTCGTATTTATACCCGAGATTTGCTTACGTAGCAGTTTTTTCTACACGCGTTTTCGATACCGGAAGTGTTTGGACTTTGACCGGAGTGTACGTGACTCCGCGCGTATCGCTGTCTCTGTCTATGCGTAGTGCTATCTTTCTTTATTCTGCGCTCTATTCCTACCTCTTTCTACGTGTTATTCCTATCTCTATCTATGTGTCCTACGTCGATCTTTTATCGACGCGGTAATTATCGATGTATATTTTTGAGTATAAATTTTGTTAAGTATAAATATAATTAAATACAACATTCTTTTCCTATTTGTTAAATATGAATATAATTGTCAAGCTGAATCATGTTAATACAATAATAATAAAAAAAACGAAGTGTTATAACTTTGATTGTATAAAAACTAAAAAAAAAAAAAATAAATACATATATTTTAATAATTAATTATGATGGCTTTTTATTTATTCTTCTTCCTGCGGGATGTTACAGCCTTCCCCCTGTGTTGGTCTCTTGCCCTCAAGAGACTTTTTTGCTTGCTGTTCCTGGCAAGTCTGGCATTGACATTTTCCTTCGTCGTTTCGGGGGGATGCGGCCAATTTACCAAAATATTTAATTTTTTGCGTGTTTTCTTCTTGGATCCGTTCTGCTTAATTTCTTGAAGGTTTTCCAATTTAATTCCGGAATGTCGATGGGGGTTAACCTCCATGGTGTACTCTCTGTTTGTATAGGATGCTGTATTGGAGCCTTTGAAGATATTTGGAGTAATTAGTAAATTATTAAATTACGGAAAAGAAATATACCTGTACCTCCTTGAGTTTCCTTAAGGCTTTCCTTAAGCGTTTTAATTGCTGGCGTTTGCCGGCACGTCTAACCATGTTTGCAATTAGAATTTTTCGAAAATAAATATGGCGTTTGCATAGGTGGCGCTTTACGTCTTCTTTCTTTCTTTATCATTCTTTCTCTGTCTTTCCTCTTTTGGGAAAGACCATAATGGCGGTTAAGGGTTCGATGAATAAAATGTTTTTATAAGAATGACCATTGAGGTTTATTTTTGTTTCCTTTTTAGGGATTTACATAGAATTATATCGTTTAGATAAAATATGTTGGGATTTGTAGTAGATGGAAGTAGAGCTCCTTCTACGAATGCTTCTCGAGTGTCTTCATCCATGTTGTTAAAAAATTGATGACATGATGTGCATGCTATTGCTGTCTGTATTCCTGCATAGTTTCGACCGCAGGTTATGCAATAAATATGTTTAATTGCATGTTCCTTCTTAATGAAGTGGTGATTGCCTAGATGTACCCATTGTTTTTTTGCTTCTGTGTGTGCTTTTTTTGCACATTGAAAACATAATCTTCCTGACTGGAAGTGGAAGGTATGTTGAAAGGCTGGTACGAGATCTTTTATGCATAAAGCATCAATGGCTGACATTTGCTGGTTCATTTTTCTGAATGTAGATAATATTGTGTTATAAAATGATAAATTTATTTTAATTATTTATGCTTACTCTTTGTTGTAATTTCCCCTTTTTCCTTCTGAAATTCTGTTTCGTTGAATTATTATTATTTTTTCTTTGCGAAAAACTTTTTGTTCTGTAACACACTTGTGGTTGTTTCCGCACAGTAGTGTTCTTTATGAGGTGCTTCCACTTGCTTCCAACGGTTTTTTTTTGGTTTTCGTTAATACGCATGCGCGTGTTCATGAATCTAGTGGATTTTTGCATCGATCTTCACGTTTGATCTATGATGTTGATTGGTAGATAGGCCCTCTTTAGCCTATCTTTGTGAACGATTCGCTTTTTATTGGGTCCTATTGCCAATTCTATGTTATTTGGTTCTATGTTTCGAAGTATAGTGTATGGTCCAGTGTATTCCTTTTCAAATTTGTTTCTTCTAGGCGGGTTTAATAGCATAACTTTTTCACCTGTTTCATAGTTTATTGGTCGAATTTTTCTGTCGTAATAGTGTTTTTGTCTGTGTTTTTCATTTTCCAAATTTGATTTTGCTATTTCTCGTAAATTGTGCAGTGTTTGAATTAGTTTTTCGATATAATCAGGGTATGTTTTTAAATTATCAATCGGTTTAATATTTGATGGTTGACGAGCTTTTTTTCCGAAAACTAATTCATGTGGTGTGAATTTTGTTCCTTCGTGGATGCTGGTGTTATAGGAAAACATCGCTTGTGGTAACCATTCGTCCCAATGTTTTTCTTTTGAGATATAATGTTTTAAATATTCAATTAAAACATGATGGCTTCTTTCTAGTGATCCATTTGATTGTGGATGGAATGAAGATGTTCTGTATGTTTTGATTTGGAAGGCTTTAGCTAATTTCTTCATTAATGATCCTGTGAAACATGTACCTTGGTCTGTAAGTATGGCTTTTGGACTACCAAATTTGCATATAAAATGTTCTGTAAAAGCTTTTGCTACTTCTTCAGATGTGGTTGATATTAAGGGTATTGCAGCTGAGTATTTGGTCAAGTTATCCTGAATAGTAAGTATATAGCTGTTTCCTGTTGTAGTTATTGGCAATGGTCCTAAAATATCTAAAGATACTTTGTCCAATGCATCAATAGGGGTATCAGTGATGACCATTGGTTCTTTGTTTTTCATTCTTACTAGTTTCACTTTTTGACAGCTAATGCAGGTTCTAATCTAATCAGTGATTTCCTTTTTCATGTTCTTCCAATAATAGTTATTTCTGATTCTATGGTAAGTCTTTTTTATCCCTTTATGTCCTTCTACTGGGCTTTCATGGTTTTCTCTAATGATATGTATTCTTTCTTCTTTAGGTGGTGTGACTATGGTTCCTTTACAGAGTGTGATAGAGATATTTGAGTCTGTAAAAATTACTTGTAGGAGTTTATGTAATCCTTTTAGTTCAGGTATAGAACATTCTTGAATTTTCCTCTTATAGAATTCTTGGTAAAGTGTTTTTAGTGTTTTAGGTAAGACTTCTCTTGAATGTGTTACTAGGCCAAATATTTCTTTGTTCTTCTTTTTTAGATGTATAATGGTTTCTTGCTGATGAGGTATATGTATTCTTATTTTTTCCTTTTGTAAAAATTCTTTTGATTGATTATCTATTGGTTTTCCTTCTTCATTTAGGAATACAATCACAATTCCTTTCTTCATCCAGAGGTGGTCAGTGATGCCAGAACCGTGGGACGTGGGACAAATCTTTACCCTCTCCACGACGTCCCACGACGTCCCAGTGACTCCCCTACCGCAGTTGTTTCGTCTAACACAAGCGCGTTGTCCCACGTGTCCGTGTGAGCTCTCTGCGGGTTTGGCAGAGTTCGGCTGCTCTCGTCATTTCTACGTTATCGGCTCGATGCTCAAGCCGCTAAAGCACGAGGCAGCAGCATCGACGAATCGACAAAATAATATAATTTCGTGCATGGCAATATGGCTGAATTAAGAAACCAGGAGAATCAGTTCGAATCCCGATTTTACGGTTTCAGTTCTGATTCTTAATACATTAACGTTTTTCTAATACATAAAAATACATTTTTGATACATTAATACTATGAAATACATTAACTTGGAAAGCAGTTAAAAAAAGGAGTTGAACTGCATCTTTCTTTGATATTTTTTTTAATATTTAAGTTTTATATATATACATATGTATGTACGTACATATGATAAAAGTACGTGATACAGAAGTAATTTCTTCAATTAGATATTACTGTTATTCTAACTATTACAATACGTAAATTCGAAGATATACGAGGAAAATTGGTTAGGTTAAATTGTAAGGATATAAGGAAATTTCAATCTTTAACGGTTTGTCAGTTTTATTTCTTATTCCTTACAACTATTATAATTTTATTCTCTGAATGGTCATTACAATGAAAGATGGATTAGATACAATTTGATTCCTCATTTAATTTGTTATATACATATCAGGTTTCTTGCAACTGTTGCACCTGGTCCACGCTTACACGATATTGCATATTTTACTTTCCAATAATACAACAAGGAAACAAAATTATAATATAGTGATTACCATAATACAATAGAAAATGTTAAGCTTGGTATAAACCTTCTTTTTTTTGTGTACTTAATCTGCAGTTACGCTTCGTTGCTTTATAATGACTGATTTTTCTTTTGAATGAAACTTCCACTAGCGTATTGATGAAATTTTTCGATTAAAACAAGATCAAACACGACGTAATTTGAATTATAGTTACTTTATATATTTGCATTAGGTTTTAAATAAATAAGTAAATATAATGCAAATTATGTCGTGTTTGGTCTTATTTTGATCAGAAGATCCTTCCAATTACATTGGTAAAAGTTTCATTTAGCAAAAATGAAAAATAAAAAAGTTATGGTTAAATTAATATTGTCTCACTCAAATGTTTTTTCTCGGGCCCTTTAATTCTCGGACCTCCTTCTCTTTCGCTATTTGTCTTTTTCTACGTTCGCCAGCATTCAAGAACTCGCTCGAGCTGTGTCGTTCTGCCAGCCTTACACACTTTTAGGAGAATCGGGAAAATCCAGCATAATAACACGTTCTATGCTGAAAGAATATACTAACTTATCTGTTTAATAAAATTTTAATAAATCTGGCAATAGATTTATTTTCTGACTGCTTTTCTTAAGTAATCAGAATTTCACCATTCTCCTGTACAGATCGTGTGTAGCAGTTTGTAGCAAACTCAACATATTTTCGATATTATGTAGAATACACAACCGATCGACAAATATTAAAAATCCAGGATATTTTGTGCCGCTTTTTATATGTCAAGGGCCATCGAAATGAAATAAATGACCAACAATGAATAGTATAATAAAGGTGATCGCTGTTCATCTATTTCCTTTCTACGATGTACAGGATTGCCTCGAAATAAGCAAGTGGCTCGAGACCTAACAGTTGCTTATTTCGAAGCAGAGACCACTTGCTTATTTCGAGGCAATCCTGTATTTCTTCCGCAAGAGACGGTTTCCTAACAATTTACAGTACAGTAAAATCTGGATATACAGTAATCTCTCTCACATTGCCCGTTAGGTAGGAATCGAAAGTGGGCAACTTGGGAAGACTAGAATCGTTTTTCCAGCCTCGCAGCTCGCCTTTGTAGTTTGCCGAACAAAGAAAAGGACAGCGAATAAAAGAGAAAGACAGAATTAGAGTCGGGCAAATGAAAGATTTAAAAATCAGTACTACATATACACTTTTTTATTTTTAACTTTTTTAATATGCAATTACTTTTATCATATTGGAGAGATTTTTGCGATTAAAATGAAACCAAACACAATATAATTTGGATCACCTTTACTTATTAATACCTATTAGGTAATTCATTTCATCATCGCTTTAAATGAATTACAAAAGCGGATTTCTAGAAAAAATACACAAAATATTTGTACACATTATCTGTTGAATACGTAACTTGTGTCTGGATAATGTGGAAAAAGCTTACATTCGAGGGACAATGCGGTGGTACAGCCTACGTTGTAGGGACAATGCGGTGGTACAGCCTACGTTTCAGGGGCAATGTGATGGTACAGCCTACGTTTTAGGGACAATGTGGTGGTACAGCCTACGTTTTAGGGACAATGTGGTGGTACAGCCTACGTTTGAAACTCAATAGATTTTTCAATCGCGTTAAATAATTTTAAACTATTTATGTATGAAATATAATACATATTTACACATGTGAGTTATTTAATAAGCCTTAATAAATAAATTTAGTCCGAATCATATCGCGTTTGGACTCATTTTAATCGTAAAAATCTTGGCAATATGTGAAAAAAATTTATAAATAGAAAAAAGTGAAAATAAAAAAGTTATATTCCTTTATTATAAATTACTAACACTCGAACTCTCATCAAAAGGACCGCGTCGCGTGTCACATTACATACATCACATGCTTGACTGACTTCCATCGAGATAACATAGGCGCAGAAGTGACGTATACATAAGCGTAGAAACAGCGTAGGGACAATGTGAGGCGTCCGTCAGTATGGGCAATGTGAGAGACATTACTGTACATATGCAAGAGAGATGGGATCCAAGCGAGGTGTCGAATCTCGGGTTACGCGCGACGCCAGCCAAGCGTGAACGTAGAAAGCGACAGGCAGTGGAGGAGAGAGAGAGGTCAAATGATCAAACGAAAGAGCCGAAACATATCGGTGTGACTAATACTAATTCAGTTATAAAACATTTTTATTTTTGACTTTTTTTAAATGAAATTTTTACTGGCGTATTGGCCAGATTTTTCTGATTAAAATGATACCAAACACGATATAGTTTGAATTGTAATTACTTGCTAAAATTGATGTTAAAAGTGGACGAAAAGTCAGAGAGATCGAATCAAAACATTGCATATGCATATCCGAGCGAGGTGTCGAAGTTTGATCGGACGTCTTGCATTATATGTACCCAGATTTTACTGTACTGTAAATTGTTAGGAAACCGTCTCTTGTGGAAGAAATACATCGTAAAAGGAAATAGATGAACAGCGATCACCTTTATTATAATATTCATTGTTGGTCATTTATTTCAATTCGATGGCCCTTGACATATAAAAAACGGCACAAAATATCCTGGATTTTTAATATTTTTCGATCGGTTGTATATTAGACATAATATCGAAAACATGTTGAGTTTGCTACAAACTGCTACACCCGATCCGTACAGGAGACTGGTAAAATGCTGATTACTTAAGAAAAGCAGCCCGAAAATAAATCTGTCAGATTTATTAAAATTTTTTTAGACAGATAACTTAGTATATTCTTTCAGCATAGAATGTGTTATTATGCTGGATTTTCCCGATTCTCCTGAAAGTGTGCGAGGCTGGCAGAACGACACAGCTCGAGCGAGTTCTTGAATGCTGACGAACGTAGAAAAAGACAAATAGCGAAAGAGAAAGAGGTCCGAGAATTAAAGGGTCCGAGAAAAAACATTTGAGTGAGACAATATTAATTTAACCATAACTTTTTTATTTTTCATTTTTGCTAAATGAAACTTTTACCAATGTAATTGGAAGGTTCTTCTGATCAAAATAAGACCAAACACGACATAATTTGCATTATATTTACTTATTTATTTAAAACCTAATGCAAATATATAAAGTAACTATAATTCAAATTACGTCGTGTTTGATCTTGTTTTAATCGAAAAATTTCATCAATACGCTAGTGGAAATTTCATTCAAAAGAAAAATCAGTCATTAGTCATTATAAAGCAACGAAGCGAAAGTGCAGCATAACTACACAGAAAACACATAAGGTTTATAGCAAGCTTAACATTTTCTATTGTATTATGGTAATCACTATATTATAGTTTTGTTTCCTTGTTGTATTATAGGAAAGTAAAATATGCAATATCGTATAAGCGTGGACCAGTTGCAATAGTTGCAAGAAACCTGATATGTATATAACAAATTAAATGAGGAATCAAGTTGTATCTAATATATCTTTCATTGTAATGACCATTCAGAGAATAAAATTATAATAGTTGTAAGGAATAAGAAATAAAACTAACAAACCGTTAAAGATTGAAATTTCTTTATATCCTTACAATTGAACCTAACCAATTTTCCTCGTATGTTTTCGGATTTACGTATTGTAATAGTTAGAATAACTGTAATATCTAATTGAAGAAATTACTTCTGTATCACGTACTTTTATCATATGGACGTACATACATATGTATATATATAAAACTTAAATATTAAAAAAAATATCAAAGAAAGATGCAGTTCAACTCCTTCTTTTAACTGCTTCCCAAGTTAATGTATTTCATAGTATTAATGTATTAAAAATGTATTTTTATGTATTAAAGAAACGTTAATGCATTAAGAATCAGAACTGAAACCGTAGAATCGGGATTCGAACTGAATCTCCTGGTTTCTCACTTCTACCATATTGCCATGGACGAAATTATATTATTTTGTCGATTCGTCGATGCTGCTGCCACGTGCTTTAGCGGTTTGAGCATCGAGCCGATAACGTAGAAATGACGAAAGCAGCCGAACTCTGCCAAACCCGCAGAGCTCACACGGACACGTGGGACAACGCGCTTGTGTTAGATGAAACAACTGCGGTAGGGGAATCACTGGGACGTCGTGGGACGTCGTGGAGAGGGTAAAAATTTGTCCCACGTCCCACGGTTCTGGCATCACTGGAGGTGGTCAGTTGTCTCTATTATCTTGGATGTGACTGGTAGGTTGCTGATCACTCTTGGTTGTGTTATTTTATGAGTGGTAAGTTGATCCTCTTCTTTTATAATTTTAATAGGAGTTATTGGTGCTGTGGATGTACTTTCTGAATCATTTTTCTCCTCTTTTTTCAGCTCTGAAAATTCTTCTTTGGTTTCTAAAGATGTCTTTTTTGTCCCTGAAGATGCCTTTTTTATTTCTGAAGATGTTCTTTCTGTTTCTGAGGATGCTTTTTTTGTTCCTGAAGATGAACCTATTTTGGGTGGGTCTCTATATATGTGTTTGGGTAAAGTCATTCCTTCTTCAAAAACTTCAATTTCGTCACCAATTATTATTGGTTCATGTTTCCTTTTGATTGGTTTAGGAGGTTCATAAATCAGTTTTTTTGGTGGTTGATGAATTTCTACTGTAACTTGTTTTTCATTTTGTCTTCTCTTTTTGAATTGTTTGTTTGCAGAGCTTGATGTTTCCTTTTTCCTCTTCCTGAGTTGTTGGTCTTGAAATTCGTCAGTATCGCAATATTCTGATTCACTGGAGGTTATGTTTTCTTTAAAGCGTTTCTTATTTGTTTGATGTAGACTGCTGCTTGTTTCATGTGGTCTCTTATAGTGTTGTGTAATTTTTTCTTTCTTTATTTCTCTCTCAGAATCAGAGAAAGTATCTAGCTGTCGTGTAGGATGTGTTGTTTTTCTTCTTACAATACTTCTTTCGGATTCAGAGGAAGTATCTCTTTGTCGTGTGGTGTGTTGATGCGACTGTTTTTTCCTTTTTGTTTTTCTGTTTAGTTCTGAAGATGTATCTCGGCGTCTTGTTGGATACTGATGGGTTTCCTTTTTCTTTTTGATTTCTCTGGAGCTTGATGACGTAGTTGGTCTTCGTCTTGTAGGGTGTTGGTGGGTTTCCTTTTTTCTTTTATATTCCCTAGAATCGGATGTTGTCGATGGTCTAGGACGTGTAGGGTACTGGTGCGTTTCTTTTTTCTTCTTGTGCTCCCTAGAATCGGTTGTCGTCGATGGTCTAGGACGTGTTGGATATTGGTGCCATTCTTTTTTTCTTTTTGTTATTTTTTTGGATCCTGTGGTTGATGTAGTGCTTCTCGGACGAGTTTGATATTGATGCCATTGTTTTTTCTTCTTGATTTCTCTTGATTCAGTGGTTGAAGTTGTTGCTCTGGGTCTGGTAGCATACTGGTGCCATTGTTTCTTCTTTTTAATTTCTTTTGAGTCTGTGGTAGAATGTTTTCGTTTCGCTTGAATTGGTAAGGTTGCAATAGGATTTCGGGATAATGCATCGGCGTTTATATTTTGTCTTCCAGGTTTATATTTGATCTCGTAGTCGTATTCGCTTAATTTTAGTTTCCATCGCATTAATCTTGATGCGGGGTCTGTTAAATTATGCAGCCATGTTAATGGTTTGTGGTCAGTTATTAGATAAAATTTTCTTCCGTAAATATAGGGTCTAAAATGAGTTACGGCGTATACGACTGCTAACAATTCTCTTTCCGTAGCTGAGTATTGCGTTTCTGCCTCGTTTAATACTCTTGAAGTATATGATACCGGTTGATCTTTTCCAATTTCGCCCTGGCTTAGTACTGCTCCAACGGCGATTCCAGATGCATCCGTGGTGATATTGAAAGGTTTTGTGAAATCTGGATATTGTAGAATTGGTTCCTCGCATAATTTATCTCTGAGGATGATGAAAGCTTGTTGTTGTTGCTGTGTCCATTCAAATTTTTGTTCTTTTTTTGTTAAATCTGATAGAGGTTTAGCTATTTTTGAAAAATTTTTTATAAATCTTCTATAATATCCGCATAAACCAAGGAATTGCCTAATATTCTTTCCTGTTTTGGGAACTGGAAACTCTTTGACCGCTTCTACTTTCTTTGGGTCAGGTTTCACTCCATCCTCTGTGATAATGTGTCCCAAGTAGGCTACTTCCTTCTTCAGTAGTTCGCATTTTTCCGGCTGGAGATATAGATTTGCTTCTCTCAGTCTTGCCATAAGTCTATTGAATTTTGTCTCGTGTTCTTCTATTGAGCTAGCATAAATTACTATATCATCAATATACACGAATGCTTCGACCCCTTGTAGTCCAACCAGAACGTTGTTCATAAGTCTCTGGAATGAACCTGCAGCGTTCTTTAAACCAAATGGCATTCTTTTAAAATGGAAGTGTCCAAATGGCCTTGAAAAAGCTGTCTTGTGTTTGTCGTCTGGATGCATGGGTATCTGGTGGAAGCTAGACATCAAGTCGAATATTGAGAAGTATTTTGCGCTTCCCAATTGATCTAGAATGTCGACTATGTTTGGCAATGAATATGCGTCGCTAATGGTTTTTTCATTTAATTTTCTAAAATCGATGACTAATCTCCATGATTTGTTTCCTTGTGTGATTTCCTTTTTTGGAACTATCCAGATTGGAGAATTATAAGGTGATGATGAATGTTCGATTATATCTTTGTCTAATAATTCTTTGACTTGTCTATTTACTTCTTCCTTTAACGCTTGTGGGTATCTATATTGTTTTATGTTAACTGGAACTTCGTCAATTGTGATTATTCGATGGAAAATTTTGTTTGTTGCTCCAAGTTCGTCTTCGTTTAAGTAGAATCTGTCAGCGTTGTTTGAAATTAAATTCCTTATGCTTGATTTTTCTTCTCTATTTAAATGTTCCAGGCGTAGTGATGCAAATAGTGTAGTGATGCGTTCGGTAGAATCTGATGGTGCTTCTTCTTCTTCTTTTATTTTTATTTCTTCGTATGGTTCCAATTGTAAGGTAGGCATTTGAATTTTGATGTCTTCGGAGGAGACATTTGTTGCATGAAGGAAGGCTATGCCAGTTCTGTTCGTTACTACGGCGTTTCCCATGTATAATTGTGGATGTATTTCGATTTTTGGTATAAAGCCTGTCTTTTCTTCTGTATTTTCTACTTTAATGGGAATTGTTGTTCTAGTCCTTGATGGTATTGTGATTAAAGGCTCTTGGAATGGTATTATGTAATTGTTGACTATGAGCATAGACTTGGCGTAGTCAATGTTCGCTCCGCTATTTTTGAAGAATTCGGTTCCTAGTATTCCATCGTGCGCTATCGGAAGATCCTCCACAACATGGAATACGGACTCTGTATCCAGCGCTTTTACTTCGATGTATCCTAGGGTTCAAAGATAGCCTTCAGTTATTCCGTTTAATTCAAAGATGATATTGGTATTAATTATTGCTTTATTTGATATAATATGTTTTTTAATAATGTTTATATCTGATCCAGTGTCGATGATTAGTGATGCTACTCCTTGATGAAAGTTTTCACTTATGAGTTTGATGCTTGGAGGCTTTTCTGCGTAATTCGCTTTTAAACACAGGTTCGTTTCTTTACGTACCTGTGGTTCTTGAGTTGTAGGTTGTTGTGGCTGGTTTTTAATCTTCTCTTGATACGCTTTCTTTCTGCATTGTTCGATGGTATGGCCAATGTTTTGGCAATAAGCGCATATTGGAGGTTGCCTTCTCCAGTTTGCGGTGCCTTGGTACCAGTTACTAGGAGGTTGGTTTACCGGGGGTTGAAAGGTCAGATTTGCCAAAGGTTGGTTTGCCGGATGTTGAAAAGCCGGTGGTTGTCCCGTTCCTTGGCGTTGACCTGTGTTCTGCCGCTGGTTCACCGGGGTTTGGTTTTGTGGAACCCGGTTTGGTTGTATCCATTGACTTCTTTGTTGATTATAATTGTTGTAATTATTATAGTTGCTATTGAAATTGTTGTTGTTATTGTTGTTGAACCAGCAATTTTGAATTGTGTGTCCCGGGCGCTGGCAATGCTGGCAATATCTTGGCTGCCATTGGATCGACGATACCTGCTGCCTTTGGAATGAACGGCTACTGCAGGTGTTCGTATTGTGGCCGTACCCAAAACAGTTGCTGCATTGAATGGCCTGGGTATATCCCTCGGTCAATTTCATCCTCATCATATTTTCTTTGTACTCTGCTTCGCCTTTAATAGCTGCACTAATTGCTTCGTCCAAGGTGTTGAACTCGCAATTTCGTATTCGACTGAAGATTTCTGGTTTCATCCCAGTCAGAAATGCCTTGACAGCATTGGCTTCTGCAGATGCATTATACTGCTGCGTATATTCAGGAACTTCGATTTCGTTGCAGTTCTGAATTTGCAGCAAAATACTGGAGACTCGGCTACTGTAGTCGACGACTGCTTCGTTCGGCATCTGAGCCAATTTCGACATGTCTCCGCATAGTTGTATTGATGAGTATAATGGAGCAAAACGTGATTTCAGCACCGTAATCAGCTGTTCGATGGTATTGTAGTCTCCGCTCAATACTACTCTCAAAGCTTGTCCACATAATTTATTTTTAATTAATTGGACTAGGCCGTATTCGGCGTTTGGTGAAATCATGCCCCTTGCATTAAGGCAATTTTTCGTGAATTGGTACACGGAAATGTTGTGGCCATCGAAAGGTGGCACTATATCCGCTGCATCCCTTATGCTTATTGGTCGGTTGCTCTCGGCTGGTACGTTGGCTTCGTTATCCATGTTTATTGGTTAATATCATTATTTATTTATATATATATATATATTTTTTATTATATTTTTTTTTTCTTTTTATTTTTTACGTATGTTTTTTTTTCCTTCTTTTTTTTTCTTATCTATATTTTTTCTTCTTTTGTTTATTTCAATATTTTTTTTTGTTTTCTCCCTTTTTTTTTTATTTATTAATTTATTTATTTATTAGTATTTACTTAATTAATTACGCTTATACTTATTTTCTAATTTGTTTCAAGAAAGGTGTTAACGTCCGCTAAGAATTGTATTCTTTTACCACTCTGTCGAACAGAAAACTCGAATGACCCGAACTATCATGAAGAATGATTCGACGGATTCTACCTGTTACAGTGACTCGACCTATCTGTTACAACGATTTGACCTATCCCACCGCTGTCACCAAATTTTTTCTCATCTACGTGTAACGTCCCGGAATTATTATCGCGAGTACGCTACTGCACCGACTGCGTAGGGAGAGCGGTTCCCTATAAGAAGGCGTCTCGTAAATAATTATATAATGAAGGGATCATAGGTTCGGGTGGTGCGCGGTAAAGGAGTGAAATCCAACGTTAATTCCTTTCTCAAAAATCGTAATGAGTGTTTATTCAAGAAAGTTGTGTGTTGTGTTTGTTTATAATATGTATATAAAAAGAAAAGGTAAGTAATTATTTGAGTTATATAAAAAGGTGATGAAAATAATATAAAGAATTAATGTAATCAGAGTACAAACGTTGCGCTCTGTTTTGAAATACAAAAAGGAAAATTAATTATATTAGTTACAATGAGTGCGCCCTGTATATAAAAAAATACAAAGAAAAATAACAAAATAGTTTGACCTAAAATAAAATACAAAGAAAAAATTTAATTGATTAGTAAACGCGTCTCTAGATACGATTATAAAAATTCTAAATCTATAACTTGAATTTATAAAATAAAATTTATTCAAATAAATTGTTCGATTGTCGAGGAGTTGGCGTGGATCCGTTCCGACACTGTAGGAGCTAACCCGTTCGGCCGCAGTACGATTTCTGAGCAACTTAGCCGTCACTGATAGGCCGCATCCAAGGAGCTTCTGCTTTCGCTCGCTCGTTAAGCTTGGTTGCGAACACTGCAGGACGGTATCGTCGCTCTAGAGCCAGTGTGCTAATAGGCCGCATCCAAGGAGCTTCGGCTTTCGCTCGCTCGTTAAGCTTGGTAGCGAACCTGACACGTATGAAAACCGCTACGAACCGGTGGTCGAGCGCTCCGGGTCTGACACAGAACCTTTGCCGCCTCGCCGACAAAAGAATCTAAGCTACTGGAAACCTATGTAGTAATCGTATCATAGATCCGTGTCGGACTACGATCAGAATCGAAGTGGGATAGCTCCTCGCGGCACGCTCGTATTTATACCCGAGATTTGCTTACGTAGCAGTTTTTTCTACACGCGTTTTCGATACCGGAAGTGTTTGGACTTTGACCGGAGTGTACGTGACTCCGCGCGTATCGCTGTCTCTGTCTATGCGTAGTGCTATCTTTCTTTATTCTGCGCTCTATTCCTACCTCTTTCTACGTGTTATTCCTATCTCTATCTATGTGTCCTACGTCGATCTTTTATCGACGCGGTAATTATCGATGTATATTTTTGAGTATAAATTTTGTTAAGTATAAATATAATTAAATACAACATTCTTTTCCTATTTGTTAAATATGAATATAATTGTCAAGCTGAATCATGTTAATACAATAATAATAAAAAAAACGAAGTGTTATAACTTTGATTGTATAAAAACTAAAAAAAAAAAAAATAAATATATATATTTTAATAATTAATAATGATGGCTTTTTATTTATTCTTCTTCCTGCGGGATGTTACAGTTAGAAAAACACAGTGTTAGTTTAACCTTCTCAGGCTTGGGTCAACAAGCGACCAAGGCACACTACCTAGTAAAAACCGTTGTCAAGGCGCGTCATAGTTCGTTTTCAAATCAGGTATCATTTATAACTCTACCTTCTATTACCGGATTGTTACCTTCACGACAAGTCGACCGTTCAAACATGCAATTGCCGCGAAACATTCAATTAGCAGATCCAGAGTTTCATAAACCAGGAAAAATAGATGCCTTATTAGGGAACACGCTGTTTTTCAAATTGTTAAGTATCGGACAGATTCAGTTAAGCAGTAGGGCGCTAATTCTGCAAAAGACATTGTTAGGTTGGATAGTTACTGGCGAATCAAACATACAGACACTATATAGAGCACCCACATTGGTAAATTCGTTTCACGTAACAACATCGTTAGACAAAACATTAAACAAATTCTGGGAGATAGAAGAATTCATAGATAAGCAGTATTTATCAGCAGAGGAAAGGGCCGCGGAGGATTTATTTAAGCAAAGCACCGTACGAGACGCAGATGGCCGATATTGTGTGAGGCTGCCATTCAATGAGCAAAAACAGCTCTTAGGTAATTCGCGAGAAATAGCACAGAAGAGGTTTTATGCACTAGAACGCAAATTGCATTTAGATCAAGACTTGTTAGTTAGATATAGCGAATTTTTGAAGGAGTACGAGGATTTAGGGCACATGACGCAGGTCATCGTAAACGAGGTAACCGAGGGTTTCTACCTGCCGCATCATGCGGTAGTAAAGGAGTCCAGCGAAACAACAAGGGTACGCGTAGTCTTCGACGCGTCCGCAAAAACGTCTACAGGGATCTCATTGAATGATACACTATTGAACGGGCCTATTTTGCAAGATACTCTATATAAATTATTACTTAGATTTCGTTCTTATACATATGTTTTGACCGCGGATATTGAAAAGATGTTCCGACAAATTAGAGTGCATCCTGATGATAGGATTTTCCAACGGATATTATGGCGCGATTCACGGGACCAACCTGTGAAAACATATCAATTAAATACGGTAACATACGGAACAGCATCGGCTCCGTTTTTAGCAGTGCGTTGCTTACAACAATTAGCTAACGACGAACAGCATAAATTCCCCCTAGCAGCTGCAATATTTAAAAGAGATTTTTCTATGGACGATTTGCTCACCGGAGCTTCCACTCGCGAAGAAGCATTGAAAATTCGTGACGAAGCAATATCATTAGCAAGATTAGGCGGTTTTAATCTACGACAGTGGACATCAAATGATGTAGAGCTAATCCAGGATTTAGAGTTGAGTAATCACGAACGCACTCTTTCTTTAGACATAGACGAGACTAGGAAGGCGTTAGGTATTGGCTGGAACCCGAGAACGGATAATATTCTGTACACTATAAGGGCCACCGAAAGCACACCTCGTCCGACAAAACGTACGATATTGTCGCAAATAGCACAATTGTTTGATCCATTGGGATTATTAGGACCGGTAATAGTTCGCGCAAAAATAATCATGCAACAACTATGGAAGGCAAACATAACTTGGGATGAGTCAGTTCCACAATCAATCTTGACTATGTGGGTAGAATTTAGACAGGAGCTACCGCACCTAAATAAATTTTCAATACCAAGAAAAACCATCATCGACAACCCCACGACAATTCAACTACACGGGTTTGCTGATGCCAGCGAATCTGCGTATGGTGCGTGCATTTACTTACGATCAGTTAACAAACTAGGCGACTGTAAGGTTAGTTTATTGTGCGCAAAATCGCGAGTTGCCCCAGTAAAAACTATTTCCTTGCCCCGTCTAGAATTGTGTGCCGCTAAACTACTAGCTAATTTGTTTAAGGAAGTCATTAGGGCATTGAATCATCTTCGAATTGAAAGGGTTGTATTATGGTCAGATTCCACAATAACATTGCATTGGATCAAAACGCCGCCACATCTATTAAAAACATTCATCGCGAATCGGGTCAGCGAGATTCAGGAACAGACGGACATCCAAGCCTGGCGACACATTTCAAGTGCGGAAAACCCAGCGGATTTTATATCCAGGGGATTAACGCCAATACAGATCCTTAACAACCAACTGTGGTTGAAGGGCCCGCATTGGCTCTCACACAGAGAAGAAACATGGCCTTTCATTAAGTTACCCACTATAGATGTACCGGAAAAACGTAACCTTAACGTTCTATTAACAACTATTGATGCATCGTATTTAGTGGATAGATTTTCGTCAATCAGGAAGCTTAATAGAGTATTAGCATATATACTACGTTTTTATAATAATTGTAAGGACAAGCTCAGGGTTACTGGGGAATTGACCATCACAGAAATTTCAAACGCTCATGCACACATCTTAAGGTTAGTTCAATCACATAGCCTTGCGCAAGAATTAAGAGACCTGAAACAAGGCAATCCAGTGAGTAAAAAAAGCAAACTGCTTAACCTAGCGCCATTTGTTGACGAAAACGGTTTAATCAGAGTAGGCGGTCGATTAAAATACGCATCTATTAGCTATGCAAGCAAACACCCAATTTTATTACCGCGGAACCATTATGTTACGGAATTAATAATTAGGAATGAGCATTTGAACTATTGGCACGCAGGTATACAAGCCACGTTGTGTGCCGTCAAACACAAGTATTGGCCAATAGATGGGAAAAACCTTACTCGCAAGGTAATCCACCATTGTATTAATTGCTTTAAGGCTAATCCCAAGGTACCAGAATATATTATGGGAAATTTACCAAGGGATCGTGTGACCCAAGCACGGCCATTCGAAAATACAGATATAGATTATTGCGGACCATTTTTACTAAAGGAGAAAAAACATAGTAACTTGAAAAAAATTAAAGCTTATGTAGCCGTATTTGTATGTTTTGCTACGAAGGCCACTCACTTGGAACTCGTCACCGACCTGACTACAGAAGCATGTATAGCCGCGATCAAACGTTTTTTTTGCAAGAAGAGGGAAAGCTAGAAATTTATATTCTGACAACGGTAGCAATTTTATTGGCGCAAAGAACGAAATCCTCCAAATCCAAGCATTTGTAAACTCGGACGAATACAAGGGAAAGATGAACCGATATTTGACCAATGAGCAAGTCAATTGGTCATTCTCTCCCCCCCCTTCACCTCATTTCGGCGGCCTGTGGGAAGCCGCAGTTAAGTCCTTTAAGAAACATTTGAAAGCAACTATTGGCGAAGCTATGTTTACCTATGAGCAGTTTAATAGTATTATAATCGAGATCGAAGCTATCCTTAACTCACGCCCTTTAACACCCCTATCATCAGATCCAAACGATTTTTTCGCTGTAACACCTGCTCACTTCCTAATTGGTGGTTCGTTACAAACTCTGCCGGAATACGAATTAACGGACGTACGAACCAATAGGCTGTCACTATGGCAGCACACGCAAAAAATTAAACAACATTTTTGGACACGATGGCACAGGGAATATCTCCATGAACTACATACCAGACGCAAGTGGCATGTCAGCGACGCCACCAACATCAAGGAAGGGATGCTGGTCCTAATACGAGAGGACAACCTACTCCCATTACAGTGGAGTCTAGGCAGAATCATGGAGCTACACCCAGGAGAAGATAATGTCATACGTGTAGTAACTGTAAAAACACCCTCAGGGATTTATAAACGAAGCGTTAAGGGGGTAGACACGGGTAATGCAGCGAGGTGACATTACCGGCAAAAACGGGCCTATTAATGGGTTTACGGGAATCGGTTATTTGTCCTTATATGAGAACACATAGGGCTGGGTAAGGGCTCATTCGAAAGAGGAAGGTCCAATGCAGGGCGGTCAACTCATGGTTTAACGAGATTATGTGTATATTTAATAATATCAGTGTCGAAAGTAGAAGAAAAAATCGACAAAATGCAGTTGCAAATTGGAAGCATTTTTAGGCCACTAAAAGAGTTTTGTGACTCAAACGGTGAGTTGACCGCCCTGCATTGAACCTTCCTCTTTCGAATGAGCCCTTATTCAGCTCAAGATCTTCTCGTATAAGGACGAATAACCGATTCCCGTAAAAGCATTCCCAAAGACGAGTTCCGCCATTATCTGGATACTACAGAGCAAGTCACGTGACAAATTTAGTTCAGCTAGTAGTTATAAGGTGGCGTCTAAGTAGAAAGGCTGCCGATTTGGAATCGTAGTCAGAATCAAGCGTTAGCTTGATTACGTCACTCGAACTGTGCTACGAAGGCAAGCGAAAAAGGCAACATCGCCCGAACGCTGAGTGAGACGCACTACAGTCATGCTGTCCTTCTCTCATTCTGAATGTTGAGATTGTCCCCTTTCGCTAAGATTTGACTGCCGCCCGCCTGGATTTTCCACAGCGCCCCATAACAAACCTCACCCCATTCAAACTATATCGTGTTTGGTATCATTTTAATCAGAAAAATTTCACCAATGCGCTAGTAAAAGTTTCAGTAAAAAAAAGTCAAAAATAAAAAAGTTTTATAATTGAATTAGTATTAGTTACACCGATACGTTTCGGCTCTTTCCTTTGATCATTAGACCGCTCTCTCTCTCCTCCACTGTCTGTCCCTTTCTACGTTCACGCTTGGCTGGTCGTCGCATCTAATTCGAGATTTGACATCTCGGCTGAATATATGCGAGGTCCCTCCATTTATTAGTTCTAATAGTACCATACTTAGTACTTTTTTATGCAGAATGTTTCAAGGAGTTGACACAAGTAAAAATTGATGCAATTCCATTTAAATAAAAAGTGGATTTGCATTTTTGAGTGCATCGTTGCATTCACGGAGAAGATGAAATCACAGAAAAATAGACATTATCATACCATTGAACTTTTACATAAACAGCTTTTTCCTATCTCTTATCAAATTCAAGATATAACCCGTCAGAAATTGCATGACGTATCCTGTATATTTTTATTAATTAAGAAACATTTATTTAAAGAAGTTAATAACTTTTTCTAAAAAGTTTCTCAGATTGCACGTTCCTTCGGTTCTTCAGAGTAGGCATATATTTTTCAGCAGCGAGGGGTGCTACGGTGCGCTATATAAAATCCACGCGTTCAGTCAGTCAGAATTTATCGGAGCGGGACAATTCTATCATTTAGGTTGAAAGAAGGATAGCATGATCACCCTACATCTCACTCTAACCACGCGCCAATGTTTCGCTTTCGTTCTTCAGGCGGATCGTCGCGATGCCTCTGGCGAGATGAGCGTTTGAATGTGTTTGTAAAAATGCTTGAGGCGCTGTTGCCTTCCTAGATCGTGTTGCGCGCACGCTAGCTGAGAATTAAACCTTTCAAGTTCGTACCAGACCACGCAAGTGGCTCCACTAGGCCCAACGAAAAAACTGCTGTAATACCGACGTCCCGAATCGGAGAGGTCACGCGCCGTGTCTACCCCCTTAAGAAACTCGCGCCATTACCTATAGAGAGCGCAGGCCCTGAAGAAACCAACCCATGAACTTGTACAATTGTATTATCGCGAGTAAATTTAGAAATAAGGTAAACTAGCTCACATACATGTACACTGCGTCGTGATATATTGTAAGGTAGTCTTAAAAGATCTCAGTTCGTTCTTTAGCAAACCGACGAGGGTTAATCTTCTTTTCTTTCTTTGAACGTGACCGTTCAAGGGGGCCGGTATGTCGCGTAGCGAATTCTTTGTAGCATAAGTTACCGTAGCAGCAATACCTGTCCAAGGAACCGTTACTTATCAAAAATTAGTTTATTAACACGCTATACCCAGTTTCGAAGCCGAGTTATAATTTTTTATGTTATTCAGATGTGCGTCAAAGGTCGAGGTGTTCCTTGGGTTTATTACTCGCTACGGTCATAAATAGGACCCTTCATACCCCTGCGTGGGCACTCAAGGATTGCCCGGAATTTCGAATGACCATCGGAAGGGACAAAATTTCCCTTATATGCATAGGCAAATTTTCGACACCACCCCCTCCCTTTTTCAACAACCAATCAGTATGCACAAATTCTTGTAACCGCCACAACGTAGCGCTACAAATATAACGACAGGACAACGAACACCAGACATCATTCTACGAAAGCAAGCATAGAACACGAATAAATCGAAGTTTGAGTTATCCAGAGTATCATTCTACCAACATCCATACAGTCCACTTTGAAGAACAAAAATTCGCACAAGGTTAATTCGGCGTGCGAAGTACGGGTTCCTCTGTTCAGTTCGAATAGAAAACACGTACGCAACAGGCTCTGCTGGTTATATTGTCATAGAGCCCGCCCAGTTTTAAACGCAACCGCTGTCGGAAAGAACGATCCTTTCGAATTTTATTTCGTATGCCCTTAAATATTCCAAATATAGGTAAATCATTATTTACTGACGGGGACGAAGGTAGTGGTGCTAAAAGGAAATGCAACTTGTTGAGGTGGTGTAATAATCATTTTAATCATACATACAGAGGCACACGCATCCTTCCATACAAATGCACATTCACTCCTTAAAATTAATCATTAAAACTAATCATTAAAACTAACTATACAAACTACATATATACAATTATTTACAAACAATTTACATATTATTTACAAACAATTATTTATATCTTTTTACTGCGGGATTTATGGTGTCTGTGTACTGTCATAGGTGGGAATGTGGTGTATTTGTTGGTAAGAATGTAATTGTATGGGTGGTAGAATGTATGGTGCGGGTTGTGTGGGTGGTGCAATGTATGTTGCATGTTGTGTGAGTGGTGGAGTGTTTTGTGAGGGTTGTGCGGGTGGTAAAATGTATGGTACATGTTGTGTGAGTGGTGGAGTGTTCTCTGAGGGTTGTGTGGGTGGTACAATGTATGGTGCCGCGTTAGCAATATGTTTGTACTTGTTTAAAATACTATTAATTTCTTCCTGACACTGGGTTGCCAGGTACAGGGGGAGGGCGCGCATTCGCTTGGCCGTAAAATGGCCGTATGCATCCCAATCGTCCTCTGACTCAGGTGCGTGCAGCATTTCGGTTAGGTGTTGCAATTGATCCACTGCTCCAGTTAATTGTTCCATCCTTCTTCTTCTTCTGGGATTGGAACTCCCGACAAAATCAGGTTGTATCGGCGGCGTTTCCTCCGTCATAGCCTCGCATGGATCTGCGCTGTCGACGCTGCGTGCTGACAGGCCGGTAGAGCATCGCGATGCCGGTGATTGTATCAAATTTGGATGTGTCTGAAAGAGCGCGAGAACATTAACAGTTTTGCACACGAGTAGAGCACATAAGAACAAAATGTATACTACTGATTGCAACGGGATGCATTTAGAGGAATATAACACGGATGTAATGAATAAATGAACAGTAACTTACCAGCGTACTCTGAGATTCTCTCCTCCTTCGCGTAGGTCTCATAAATTCGTCCATAATAGTGATCCACATCAGTCGCGGTCTATAAACGTTTTCGGTCCCCGCGCCTGACCTCATGGAGGCCTCCACCTTTCTCATTTCACTATGATATTGTGTACGTAATACTTTTATTTTTTGTTTAACTTCCGCGGGACCCAGGCCATCCTTCTCCATGTCGCGGATCAATAACTCTATTGCCCCCGACCGCATTTGAATATTCCGATATGAGGGCGATGTGATATCCCACAGACACTTGTGCTGTTTGTACAGTTCGACGAATTTGACGGTTTCATTTTCACTCCACTTCATTGTCGCTTCGCACTCACTTCTAATACTAAACTGCTCCCACGAATCGTTTCTGATTAAATAGCAATTTTTTCGAGGTACCTGCATCAGGGCGCGTTATAGTAGGGTAAAGGGGACAAGTAATGTACTGGGTTTGCCGAGAAATGAGAAAAAGTCAGGACAATTAATATTTCTCACTTCTTGTTCAGGCGCGACCCCACGTGCGACCGAAGAAATGAATAGAACGAATGAATAGCACCTCACTTGGACAGCGATAATCCTCAAGCATCCGCCAGCTATCCAGTAATAAACAACACGCTCGGGTCTAACCACTTGCTTATTACGGGTCAGGTATACTATTCGGCTCGACTTTGTTCTCGAAACGGGACGATAGAGAACATGAGAATCATAAAGTGATAACTGTTGCTTATTACGGATCAATACTGTACCAGTTGTGGACAATCACCATATCATAAACCAACCCACTTTTTTTTATTCTCGTAAGCAAACAAGTAGAATTTTTCAAAAGAGTAAGAAGGTACCGAAAGTACCCTTAGGTGACCTACTTGAGGCATTCCGCGTGCAGGTAAGAAGATATAATCCGAAAAAAGGGCAACGGTTTATATATATAAAAATGTTTATAGTCCAAACAATCATGGTTTATGATATGGTGATTGTGCACAACTGGTACTTAATAGGATAGCTGCCAGATGCTCGACATATTGGCTATTTAACTGCGGGATTTAGTTTTGAAAATTTCTGACGGGGTATGTAATTAAAAAATCGCTGAAAGCCGTTTTGTCCCATTGTGCTCCGCGCCAATAATGATTGTTTGTGTCTGTCGGCCATCAATTACCTTCTATAAACGTTTTCGTACGTTTAAACCGTTGCCCTTTTTTCGGATTATATCTTCTTACCTGCACGCGGAATGCCTCAAGTAGGTCACTTTTTGATCGTCGAAAGCCGTATTATAAAACATCTGGTTGAAGGAACTTGACCAGCAAACGACAATAACCATTGTGGCGGCATAAAATTAAAAGTTTTCTGAAAGAATGGTGTCGCTGATTTGAGTGGTGTTGAGCTGTATCTGAGTTTACCTGGTCGGTATATAAGCGGCTGAAAAATCGTTTTTCGCTAGTACCATCGAAAAGAACCATAATGCAAACACCAGCGAGAAATAGACGTGAATTGAGAAGCCAGCTTAGAAGAGCTGTGCTGGCAGCAATTGAAGTGTGTAGAGAAGTGATCCAGGAGGAGATCGACCATCTCGAAGAAAACACCCACCGGCCGTGGGTGCGCCAGTGGATTTCTCAACGACGTGTTGCAGGGGCATCCGCCGTTCTGCTGCGGGAGTTATCAGTGGAAAATGCTCACGAATATAGAAACCATCTGCGCTTGTCACCAAATCAACTGGAGCAGCTTCTGACGTCAGTGCAGCTCGGGATACAAAGGCAGTACACCCTCTTTCGCGATCCATTGAGTGCCCGCGAAAAATTAGAATCCACACTTTCGAACTATTGAGCAGGTATTCCGGATACCAAAATCAACATTTTCAATGCTGCTCCCCGAAGTTTGCGATGCGATTTTCAACGTGCTGAAGGAGTTCATAAAGGTACGAGCCATTTCAACATCCTCATACACATATTTTCTCAACAATTGTGTATGACTTCTATACTGATTCTCATTGCACTGTAGGTTCCGAGTGGTCCTGCCGAGTGGAGGCAGATCGCCCAAGGGTTTGAAGAGCGATGGAATTTCCCGGGGTGTTGTGGAGCCATCGACGGGAAACACATAACCATTCAAGCCCCGCCAAACTCCGGGACACAATTTTATAATTATCGAGGGACAAATTCCTTAGTTCTCCTGGCAGTTGCGGACCATGAATCCCGATTTCTATATATTGATATCGGCCGAAACGGAGTAATGTCCGACGGTGGAGTGTTCGGCAGCAGCGCGTTGCACCCTGCCCTGGAAGGGGGTATGTTACCAGAGGGCCATTGTTTCGTGGGTGACGATGCGTTTCCTCTGAAACCATATTTACTAAAACTGTACAAGGGCACGCAACTGTCCAGGGGGCAGAAAATTTTTAATTACCGTCTGAGCCGTGCCCGCCGCACGGTGGAGAGTGCGTTTGGTATCCTGGCGAGTCGATTTCGAATCCTCTACACCAGGATACCATGCGCATTGTCCACCGTGGACAAAATAGTTATGGCGTGTTGCGCGCTTCATAACTGGCTGCGGTCAACAAACGAGGAAATACCTCCTCCCCCCGCCCCCCCGGCTGAGGCTGCCGAAGTTCCCCTACCGTTCGCAGCACCTTCATTGGATACAGCAAGTGCGGCGGCAAGGCTCTTCAGGATACAGGATTGCCTCCAAATAAGCAAGTGGCTCGGGACCGAACAGTTGCTTATTTCGAAGCAGGTTGCTATTCAGCTTGACTTTGTTCTCGAAACGAGACGATAGAGAACGCGTGAAACGAGTGAGAGATCCGAGGTAGCGGCAAATCATAAAGTGATCGGCCGAGCAGCGATGTTATTTTTTGAACAAGGATAGAATATAGCATGCCCTCTCATTCTCGCACTATGCGTTTCCGAAGGCATGTAGAAGCACATGATCGAAACATGCTCTAATTTACTAATTGCGTGTTACACTCCCTCTTATTTCTTTTGACGATTATTAATATTAGTGCACATCTGTGTACGAATGTTATATAATGGCTGTAGTTCCGAATAGCCCCGGTGGCCGATCGACATGGGCTTTGGAGGGGGAAGAGGGGGGAAGGAGAAAACCCCAAATATAAAACGGTATCCATATCAGACCAGTAGTTCCGGAGATATTAATTAAAAACTTTCGCAGAATACATAGAATTTTGCCTATACAGACGTGATTAACACAACCATCCCAGTTGTAGAAACCGTGGTCGTCAAGCGTCAAGCAGCGGATGGTACAGTAGGGGGTCTCGACCTGTGTATCTACAGGGTGTCGTATATGTATAAAGCGCATTATTTTGTAAACTGTGGTTCACGTTTACATTAATCTCGTCGTTTTACTCGTTTTGATATACTGAATACGAATATGATTTTTGTTTTTAATGGAAATAACAAGCTCTCGAAATATTCGCAAACAACTTTACACAGAATTTTACCCAATAATGTAAGGCATATGTAAGGCGAATTTGCCAGTTATATATATACGAACAGAAGGTAACACTTTGTTCGTCTACGAATATCAAACCGTAGTAGGTTAGGTTATATTCTCCGTGGCGGGGGTGCCGGGGGAGAGGCAAAGCCTAAAACACAAGAATAATTACTTTAAATACAATGGTACAATGATCACAACTGAATGAGACACCTTATAGATACTCAGTTCGAGACCCCCTACTGTGTCATCGGCTACTTGACACTCGACGACCACGATTTCTACAGCGGGGATGGTTGTGTTAGTCATGTCTGTATAGGCAGAATTCTATGTATTCTGCGAAAGTTTTTAATTAATATCTCTGAAACGACTGGTCTGATGTGGATACCGTTTGATATTTGGGGTCTTCCCCCTCCCCCCTCCCCCCTCCGTCGGGGCTATTCGGAACTGTACCCTATATATGTTAGCGTCAGCACGTGTTCAAGGGTCGACACGTGGCAAGGTCAATGCATTTTGGGCTTTGACCTGGGTTTCAAGGATTTCTTAGGATTCTTTAGGCTATCGATGCCCCGAGCGATGTGCCTGTCATCGGACTTAGGCCGGCGGTAGTTGATACTTGAGGTGCGACGAATTCTAAGAGTCGCGGACGTTTTGTTTATGGAACGGCAATAGAGAGTTCGATCGCCGAGTTTCAAAGAAACGCGCGTGTGGCCGAGACCCAAAGTCATGGTGCTGCATGGCGCGTGCAGAAAGATAAGAGTTTGAAATAAAGGATCTCTCCACGGAGTGGGGAGGGTCCGGGAACCCTCTGGCAAGAGGACTGTGTCAAAAGACACGGCACTTACCCGAGAACCTCTGATCGATCGTGATCTTCTAACATATAATTATTGCTAGGTTTTAAATAATACACAGGACATGTAACTAAAAATATTCAAAATGTTCCCTGAATTATTGATATACATAAATGGATATATAATATACGAAAAGATGTTTTAAATGCCACTCTTGAAGAAATAAAGAAAATTTAATTGTAAAACTTTTTCACTGGCGCATCGACAAGGAGTTTTGTATATTTTGTATATTGTTGTTACTCGCAGTATAGTAATTCCTCCGAGATTGCGACTGTGGTCAGAATCGAAATGTTGCAATGATGGTAGAGGAGACTCGAAATTCTATGACTGGGCGGCAAGACTGTCGCCGCGGCTCGCCTTTGTAGTAAAAGAGGGTCGTAAAAGAGAAGGATAGCATCAGAGGCTCGGAACACATCAGAATAGCTAATACTAGAATGAGAAAGCATATTCCATCGTTCTTCTACTAATTGCCGTCACCCAAACAAAACATCGGCTTCTCGCTTTCACAGACCTCTCACTCATTTTTCGGACCTCTTTTCTAAAGGAGAAGGATGGAGTGAGAGCCGGAGCAGCGTAAAATTGCCAATATTTCAATGGATCAGGGCCGTACTGTTGAAATTTTTCACGTGACAATTCAGTCGAAACACGATATACGTCGGATTATTTATAACAGAGCTCGGTAGGATTTGCACTTTTCAGCTGATTTTCAGCTGGCTCCGCGTACCACTATTCCCCTTGCCGCGACGTTCAGCACGCAACCTACGATCCGTTCGAGGCTCAGGAGCGTATCACTCATAAACGTACGCTGGCAATAGCTTTCCATCTCACCCACGAGGTACTATTGTCGATGCATTTTTTTTTAAGTGGTTGCCAGCATACGTTTACGAGTGATACGCTCTTGAGCCTTGAATGCGTATGGTAGGCTGCGCGCTGAACGTCGCGGCAAGGAGAATAGCGGTTGGCGGAGCAAGCTGAAAATAGGCTGAAAAGTGGAAATCTTGCCCAGTTCTGATTTATAACAATCCGAGTTTGTAAGAAACGATAATTTATAAGAGACATTGTAACCGTAACAATGATAAAATAAACGTGGGCATCGCGGGACGGCCGATAAGAGCGAAGCTCAAGTCATAATGCGTAAATTTACAGTTTAGAATTGATTTAGTAATTTCATGGTATAATATTGAAAATGAAAATAAAATGGTCAATATCAGAGAAATTATATTTATTGCTATAAATAAATACGGCGAGATTGTCTTTTGTCGCGAACGTTCTCGTACACACGATCGACGCGAAATTTCATGGGAGACAAATAGCGGAGAGGGGCCCGAGTATTGGAGTCGATGCTACGCGCCATCAAGGTAGGCGCCGAACGTGCAAAGGAGAGCTCCAATATAAAAAACTGAAAGAAGGGAGAGAATGAGAGAAGGGAATATGTAATATTGTATTACATATTATAAAATACCATGATATTATTGTATCGAAAACTAATGACTTCATGCAAATCTATAATATAAAACATAACTAAACTTTCTTGCCGTTTTTTATTTTTAGATACACGCTTTGCAAATATGGTATAACTCCGATTTTTCTTATTCCCTTTCAAATGCATTCTGCTTCTTGCATTTTCACTTTCTTCTTTTCGTTCCATATTCACACAATTAGCACAATAATGTATAAAAATGAAATAGTTCAAAAGTTATAAATTATACATAACAAATGAAAACTCTATTGAAAACTCTATTGCTTTCTTGCGCGTGTTCACCGTTGTGCGGAAAAAAAAGAAAATCAGAGAGAGCATCAAAAATCCAAGATGGTAAGTACCTTCAAGACGCACATACATTCGTGTCTTCCTTATTTTATGAAATAAGAAGTTTTTATTATTTACTGTGCATATTTTTAGGAAAAAATGGATTGTAGCCAAGGAAATAGTGATATGACCGAAAATATAGAGCCGAATGTAAGTACCTTTACGCTCAATATCTTTATCACTTTTATTCTTCTATGTGTTGTGTGAACTGCGATTACTTATGTTCTCAGATGAAAAGTCACGATTTTCGGAAATTTTAATTATTTATATCTTTTAAATGCGTTCACCGATATAGATGAAATTTTTAGCATACACATAACTTATCTGAATCTACGAAAGTCATTAAAAATTTTCATTATAGATTAACAGAAAAAAGTTGAAAAATTACCATTCTCTGTTTTTTTTAATGATTTCAACAAATTGTAATTTTTTAAAACGATAAAAATACATATTTTAGTGAATTACATTTCATGTTTACTTACAGATAAATCAGGGGAACACCAAGTCGGCCAAAGAAAGAAATAGAAAAACCTCCGGAGGGTAATAACGAATTTGAAAAAGTACTAGTAACATATAAGAAACAAGTATGTATATACATATAATTGCGATTTCTCAGCGTGGAATCAACACCCATATGATTATACTGCAATAATTATGTTTATGTTAAATCTTACAGATCGCTGATCTCAAAAAAGAAATAAAGAGATTGAAATACAGCAGAGGGGCAAGAGGAGGAAGAGGCAGAGGAGAAGGTAGAGGAGGAAGAGGGGGAGGAGAAAGCAGAGGTGGAAGAGGCGGAGAAGGTAGAGGAAGAGGAAGAGGAAGAGGAAAATGGGAAGGATATGGCAAAAATAATACAATAATAATTTTTAAATAAAAAAAATAAAAATACTAATTAGATTAAAAAATACTATGGTTTGTTTATTGTACATTCTATCCATACCGTAATTATAAGTAAATATAATACTATTAGTACATAATTTTTTAATATATAGGTGTATTTAATAACAAACATAAAGTAAAAAAAGTAAAATAAATACATATTCCAAACAAATTTTTTTTTTAATTTAGCAAAAAGTATTATATCGCGTTTTTTACAGAAGAACAATATTTCTATTTAATTATATTTGTGCATATCTAAGTTTGTTCATCTATGTTCTATTGACTTTTTACAAAATTACTGTAAAGATATTGTCTTTTGCCATGATTACACGTTAGCAGACGTTCTCCTTATACGCCACCTTCTAATCACTAGCTGAACTGAATTTGTCACATAACTTGATCTGTATTATCCACAAAATGGCGGAACTGGTCTGCGAGAATGCTTTTACGGGCATCCGTTATTTGTCCTTATTTCGCAACAAATGAAGACAAAATAGATCTTAATTTACAGGTAAGGGTTGTGGCTAGACCGCTCAACTAATGATTTCAATCACAGCACTCTTTTAGTGGCCTAAAAATGCTTCGATTCCGCGAATGCATTTTGTCGATTTTTTACCTCTTCTTTGGACGCTTATATTACTAAACATCAACATAATCACACTGAAACATGAGTTGAGCGGTGTACATTGGACCTTCCTCTTTCGAATAAGCCCTCACCCAGCCCTAAATGTTGTCATACAAGGACGAATAACGGAAGCGCGTAAACTCATGTTTATGCCCATTTTTGCCGGCAATGTCAACGCGCTACTATTACCCGTGTCTACCCCCTTAAGGAGTACTTTTTTTTTATTAAACATAACTATTAATAAATACAAGAATCTTTTAGCTATTAAATACGAGGATAATTATTATTATAGTTAATCACAAAAATATAAAAAAATAAATAAATGAGTTGTTACAAAATTATAAAAATAAAAAATAAATGTTTACATATATCATTTTTTTCTTTAATTTTTATTATTCTTCATCCTGTGGGATGTTACACTATTAAACACAAAGGTAATTATTATTATAATTAATCACAAAATACAAAGAGAATAAATAAGTTGTTACAAAAATTATATAAAAAAAATAAAAAATAAATGTTTACATATATAATTTTTTCTTCAATTCTTTTTTTATTATTATTCCTCGTCTTGTGGGATGTTACAGTTTTTATTGGATAATTACAATAACAATTTTGTAAAATGACCGGGCACCATGAAAATGCCCATTTTTTTGAGCAATGTATACAGGCTGTTCGACAACAGGTGGGCAAAATTTTAAGGGGCGATTCTAGGAATCAAAACAAGACGAAAATCAAGAATAACGCAACAGCGTTTGCGGCTTTGTTTTCCAGTAATTAACGTTTAAAAATTCAAGTAAAAAGCGCCTGAAACCTGCAATCTGCCCAGCACCAACGACTGAACGTCAGGTCAGCAGGGGTCGGTACAGTCATAACTAAGAATCGAAGCCGAATGCTGCAGTATCGAGAAACAGAATAGCACGAGGTAAGTTTCTACTATTCAACGATTCTTGGTTATGACTGTACCGACCCCTGCTGACCTGACGTTCAGTCGTCGGTGCTGGGCGGATTGCAGGTTTCAGGCTCTTTTCACTCGAATTTTTAAACGTTAATTACTGGAAAACAAAGCTGCAAACGCTAATTCGTTTAAAAGCCAGTGAGGATTTTCTGATGCTTAATAGTGCATAATTTTCAAATTAATCTGTCTGCGATTGGTAAACATTGCTTCATCAGTAAACAACACTTTTTGTAAAAAAAAAATTATCATTGTTCATTTGATGCAGGAACCACTGGCAGAACCGAACGCGGTTTTCATAATCCGTTCCATGGAGCTCCTGATGAAGTGTTAGGTGATAGAGATGATGTTTTTCTTTATGAAGAAATCTTAGTACACTTGTTTTGCTAATTCCAGATTCTCGTGAAATCTGCCGTATACTAACATGGGGGTTTTCTGTTATCGTTGCTAGGACCGATCGTATTTTCATCAGAAGTAGCAGGTTTCGTTACGTTACGTTTAGTAACATTAAAACTTCCGATTCGTCGAAGCGATTCACACATTCTCTCAAATAGGGCTCGAGATGGCTGATTTCGTTCAGGATACCTTTCGGCATACATAGCTTTGGCTCTTATTGCATTTTTATGGCACCCACCATAAACTAAAAGCATATGAACTTTTTCGCCATTGCAAAATTTCATTTTTGTTTTTATCTGCCTGGTAATTACACACAAACACCGAAGGTAACTTCAATACTGGATCACGAACATGATAGAAGATTGCGGATCATGATAGATGTTGCGGTGTTGATAAACACTGTCACGTAAACATCACTGTCCTGCGGAAATCTGTGATAAGGTTGAATCTCCAACTTGATATTACGTGAAGAAAATTTTCAAGTAATAAAGTGAATTTCTCGTGAAGCGACTCATTACCTATTAGGTTTAGGGCTAATAAAGGTCAATACTTTTTTATTCAGAATTAGATACTCTACCACATTTTTGTATAAAAAATATAGTATTCTATTTAAAAAAACAAAAATGTCTTTCAAATCTCCGAAACGCCTCCACCTGTAAAAAAAATTAACACACTACATAGTGTACCCTTTGAAACCATGTAACTTTTGTATATAACATTTTTTCGTGCAACGCATATTTTGGAAGTCATAAAGGTGCACACATTGCGTGGACCACCCCGTATATGTAGCCTAACCTGACCTATCACATCTATGTAACAAGAGCGTTTCAATACATTGACTACCACCCTCTAGGTATTCTGTATAATGACCGGACATTTTACAAAATGCCCACGTTGAACACATTGCCTGTAACAAAAGGTTTCATCGCGATTGGTTCATTCCTTGCAGAGTAACACCAAGAGATAGGCTTTTTTTTAAATTAAAATCAAAATTATTTATATAAAATTAATTATAAAATTATTATATTTTACGAACGATGAAACGTGTATAAAAGTTTCAAAACATTTCAAAATTAATTACAAAATGTTTAAAAATATTGTGTTTAAGACCTTGAGTGTACTCGTTCAATTGTAAAAGTTCAAATTTTGATGGGTTGCTGTTACAAATATCTTCAGTATGAGTCGTGAAAGTTTTTTGAAAAGCTTCAGATCTTCAAAAGTTATAGCAGAAACGTATAAGCGAGTTGAATGCTGGGATATTTTTTCGCTACGAGGCGGCGCGGTCTAACACAATGTGCGTTAGCGAAACGTGGAAGTATCCAATATCCTGGTATAATGTAATACTTTCTTATTGTTTATTATGTTACGAGCCGGAGGGGGCAGCTGCGTAGCCGGGGCTTAATCTCGGGTATGGTATTTGTTAATGGCTTGACCAGTGTTGTTATTAACACTGGGAGCCTAAGGAAGTAGACGTGGAGACGAACCTACGTATGGCTAACGTAGGGAGCTCCAGGAGGTTGGTTATAGTGGACGAACCTACGTATTGCTAATGTAGGGAGCCACAGGAAACGTGAAGACGTGAGGACGAACCTACGTATGGCTAACGTAGGGAGCTCCAGGAGGTTGGTTATAGTGGACGAACCTACGTATTGCTAATGTAGGGAGCCACAAGAAACGTGAAGACGTGAGGACGAACCTACGTATGGCTAACGTAGGGAGCCGCAGGAAATGTTAGTATTAGGTCTCGTAACTTGATTGATGTACCTCGAGTGGTAAAGGTACACCTTAGTGAGTTTCTGGACTAGTCAATATAATTGGACAATAGTAGAAGTTAAAATAATGAGTTTATTCCCTATTCCGGGACCTTACAATTGTTGTGTGTAATTGTCGCGATGTTCAATGAATTAAACTCTAAGTTGCAAATTTAAATGAGTTGAATAAATAAAGCTTAGTTTCGATTCCGCAAAGCAAGAATCTAATCCTTCTCGGTTTCCACGAACGCGAGCAAACGGGGGCGGGCTACAACGATCAGAATAATACTTAACAGCAGACAACGTACTGTATAGTTATTGAGTGCTTGAAGGGGACTTGAATACCCAATCTCAAAGAGTTTCCTCGTTGCAGAGATTATCCGTAAGAGAAACGTACTGACGTGTATCAAACCGATTTTAGACTTCAACTAGACCCGAGGTGCCCTTGCCGCCACCCTTTTTATACCCAAAAATTGGAGTAAAAAGAGTGGTGGGGACGGACTCTACGTGACCCGTAGGACCGCGCCCTTGCTTTGCGTTGGTCTCGAATTTTCCAGAAGACGGTTGGTGCCGGGTGCGCACATCCGATTCCATATAAGGAAATTTTTGAGAAGGGTTTGTGTTAAAATAATATTATTTGATATTGACAAAAATGATTCTCTGTGTTGAGAGTCACTGGGATTAAACAAAGACCTAGCTCTGTCGCCAGAGTCGATAGGTTTCAAGCCGTACCAGACCTAAGGGTCTGGGGCAATAAACACATTGAAGGCCCGGGGCCGTTATTTTCCTTTTTGAAAGTGGGCGTTGGTTTTCCAGCGTGCATTTTTCGGATGAATTCATTCTTTGTTCTTTCCTGACATAGGGAAGACGTTCCTTCGTTGCTCTTCGAATAAAGCTTTATAATTAGGGAAAAGAACTGTTTTACAATTTATTAAACCCATAACTCCAATAGTTTGTAACACCATATAAGGAAATTTCCGAGACGGATACGGGCTATTCCACGCAAAGTGATCACACTTTTTCCCGCATGGTCTTGAATTTTTGTTAAATTTTGTAGGCTTGTAGAACCCAATGTACGAACAAAAAATCGATGCTCCGTTCCTCGATATTGTTTAAACTTTCCAAGTTATAAGGACTGAAAATTTAGGGTCACTTTTTTTTCAAAACATCATAACTCGGAAAGTATTATAGATATCAACAGGCATGAACTGGCATTTAATAGGTAAAGCTTCAAAGTTTAATAAAAAAATTACTACATGTGTCAACGCAATCTTCAAATTGTTGTAAATAATGTTTATGATCTTCAAACTTGAAAATAACCCCAAGGGGAAGCACGAATCGGACTGAAATTTTTTCAGAACACCGTTCAGTTTTATTTGGGAAAGCACCGAGACAAGCGGTTTCAGTTAAGTGTTCAGTGTTGTGTGTTACGTTGCGCGTGGCGAGAGAGCGAGCGCGCGACGTAAAAGAAGAAAAATAATTAAGATAGAAAATATTGAACTTGATTCTTCTTATTTTTGGGCAATGAGAAAGGTATCGCTGCCACCAGTTCTGACCGCGTATGACGCGGAAGCGTCCTCTACGGTCAGAACAAATTAAAAGACGGAAATTTACATAGTAATTATTTCCATTGGGTTCGTCAGTGTTCTGGGTCCCATACGGGTCCCTCCTTGAAACTTTGCGTTGAGGTGCGTGGATTTGAAATATAGAATGATGCAGGAAATGATACAAAACGGAATTTGAAAGAAATGTTAATACAGTTTAGTGTGCAAAAGAAAAGTAAATTTAATTCAAAATAATTATTGAAGCTAACAGAAACTGAATTTCAAATGACTATTGTTTGAGTACTGAATAGTTTCTACTTGAATACTGTTAATTACTATTAAATGAATTTAATTAAAACAATACTGATTTACAAGGGTAAAGATGCTTAACCTATTGTTTGATATAAATATGAATGAAATCGGAAAAAGATGTTTAGCCTTTGATTTACAATGAGACCTTCTAATATAATATTAACCGGATTTGAAATGTAAAAAATTATATGTTCTTAATGAAGGACGACTGCCTCGACCAAATATAATAGAAAATTAAGGTTTTTGGCGGTTTCCATCCGCTAGGTAACGACCTGAACGAAGAGACTCTTACAACCCCCGAAAGGGCTTTACAGGTCGTTCCTGGTAAAGTATCGTAGTCGAAACAATCGTCACACACAAACTCGCGATGATTCAAAATTCGGAATATTAAGATAGCGAAATAAATTATAATCGGTACCTGAATGTGGAAACGAGACGATCTAAAATGAAGAGACTCTTACAACCCCCGAAAGGGCTTAATAGATCGCCCGTTTGCCTCGTCGAAATTGAATAATAATGCCTTGCTCGACAAATTAGTACTGAACAGGCTTACCGTGAAACTGTAGAAGATGATATACGATAAAAATCGCTTTGGGTTCGATAAGCGAAACGGATGGGAGAACGTGTGTCGTGATAGCTGGAGTGAGTAGAGAGTGAAAAAGTCAGTAATTGTGAGGAAGATAAGGTTTAGGGGCAACAGAAAGTGGGAGTATAAAGAAAAGGAAAAGAGTGATAGACCAGGGCAGCAATAAAGAAAAGAAGTAAGAAGAAAAGCAGTGATAAGAAGAATCAGTGGAAGTGAGGTTAGGAGGAGAGAAGGCCGGGAAAGAGCGCGAAGGAAGGGAAGAGGGAACGGAGGGAGACACCTGGGGGACAAGTGGGAAACAGGTAACACAGAAGTACCCCCGGTTGGTAAGGAAGAGATAGACGAAAGAGGAAAGGGGGATTATGGCGGGCAGAACAGAGGAAGCAAAAGAAAAGAAAAAAATCGAGGAAGGGAAGGATGACCCAGGAAAAGCTGATAAAGGCGGGAAAAGAGGAAGACCGACCAATGTGGCGGCACTGAAAAAAGAAAGGAGCATAAGCATGGGAAACATGACGAGCATAGAAGAAATCTGGAAAAGGAAGAGAGAAACAGAAGCGGAGGAGGAGAAGGGGAGAGAAGATGGAGGAGAGTGTGACCCGCAAATAGAAGAATGGATATTCAGAGCGAGCAGTTTGGTAGGAAGATCGCCGGAGAAGAAGAAAGAACGGGTGGAAGAAGGAAGTGGAATTGGACAGATAAAGAGGATGATGAAAGAGTTGGGGGAAGGGCTGAGCAAGAAAATAGAAGAAAGCGCAAGGAACCAGGGAAGAGAAATGAGGGAAGGGATAGCAGGAGTGAAAAAGGAAATAGAGAAGGAAATAGGTAATCTAAAGGAAGAAATCAAAAAGAGAGAGGATAGGTGGATGGTACAGAGGAGGGAGCTAGAAGAGAAAGTGGAAGGGCTCAGAAAAAAGGTGGAAGAGTTGGAAAGAGAGGAAAAAGAGAATGACAAATGGAGTAAACTAGAGGAGAAAATTCAAAAAATGGAACGGGGAACAAGGGAGGAAAGGAGGGCAGGGAAGGAGGAAGATACAATAATGGAAAAATTGAGAGAATTAGAGGGCAGGTGGGAGCGGAAGGAAAAAGAAGAAAAGAGAAAAAACATAATAATTAAAGGGGTGAGAATAAGAAGGGAGGAGATGAGGGAGAAAACAGAAGAGATAATGAAAGCAATTGGAGTACAGGACGCGGTGCAGGAGGTGAAAGCAGCAGGATTTGGGGAGGGGGGAAAAGAGATAAACATGGTTCAAATAAAATTGAAGACAGTAGAGCAGAAAAGAAGCGTGATGATGAAAAAGAAAGTACTGAAAGGTAGGGAAGAGAGAATTGAAGAGGACTTGACATGGAAAGAAAGGAGGATACAATGGAAGCTAAGAAGGATAGCAAAGGAGGAAAGAGAAAAAGGAAAGAACGTATGGGTGGATCATGGAAGAATAAGAATAGAAGGGAAATGGTGGAGGTGGAAGGAGGGTAGTGAGCGTCTGAAGGACGGACAAGGGAGAGAATGGTATGAAATGCAGAGGGGGTCGAGCAACGTGGGGGAAGAAATATGAGGGATAAAAGGGGAGAGCGAGTGGGAAAAGTGGGGGAAGAAGAAAAGGGGGAAAGAAGGGGAAAGAGGGATAAAAGGGATAGAAAAAGAAAAGAAGCTGAAGAGGAAGAAGAGGGGGGAGGAAGGGTAGAAGAGGAGAAAAGAGAGAAAGGAAAAGAAATGAATGAAAGAATAGGGGAAGAAAAGGAGTGGTGGGAAATAGGGTTTTGGAACTGCGCGGGAATCAGAAATAAAGATGAAGACTTCTGGAATACGATTATGCAGTGGGATGTCGTAGTCTTAATGGAGACCTGGCTTGAGAAGAGAGGATGGGAGAAGATAGAAAGGTGGCTGCCAAAAGGCTATAGATGGGAAGCACAGCTGGCAGAAAGGAAAAATAAAAAAGGAAGGGCAATGGGAGGAATGATGATAGGGGTGAAGGAACACCTGATGGGAAAAGAAGGAAGGATAATAAAGGAAGGGAAAAAGACAGGAATAATGACAGCAGAATTCAAGAGAGGGGAAGAAAAATGGAGGGTAGTGGGGGTATACGTGAACGCGGATATAGAGGAAAAAATGGAGGAACTCAGGACAAGAATGGAAGGCGTGGGGGAAGAAAGAATAACAATAATAGGAGGAGATTTCAATGCGAGAACAGGGGAAGAAGGGGGAGGAGGGATGATGTGGGGGGAGGAGGAGGAAGAGGGAGAGAGAAAATCAAAGGACAAAAAGCAAAATGCGGAGGGGAGAGTCATGCTAGAGGCACTAAGAGGAACAGGTTGGGAAATTTTGAATGGAAATATGAGAGGGGATGAAGAAGGAGAGTTCACGTACACAGGAGCAAGAGGAAGCACAGTGATAGATTACGTAATAGCAGAGGGAGAGGGGAAGGAGAGAATCAAAAGAATGGAGATAGGGGACAGAGTTGATTCAGACCACCACCCAATGATACTGAAGCTGGAAGGGGAGAGAGTGAGGAAGGAAGAAGAAGGGGAGAAAAAAAGACCAGTGGCGAAAGGAAACTGGTCGGAGAAGGGAAGAGAAAGGTTTAAAAAGGAAATTGTGTGGAGAGAGATGAGGAAAGGAAAATTAGAAGAGGACATGGAGACAATGTTAGGAAGGGGCTAGGAGTTTAGGAAGGGGCTTGAGAGAGGAAGGGAGGAAACAAAAACGCGCATGAAAAAAGGGTGGTGGGACGAAGAATGTAGACAGAAAAAGAGAGAAGTGAGAAAGGTGCTGAGAGAGTGGAGGAAAGGGAGGGCCGAGGCAGTAAATTATAGAGAAGCGAAAAAGGAATACAAAAGACTATGCGGAACAAAAAAGGAAAAAGTAAACGAGAGTTTTGAAAAGGAGGTGGAAGAAGCAAGAACAGAAGGCGAGGTGTGGAAGATAATAAATAGGGAGAGGAAAAGAGGGGGGAGAGTGAAAACGGGGATAAAAGAGGAGGACTGGAGAAAACATTTCGTTAACCTACTAGGCGGGACAGAGGACAAGGTAGTAATGGGAGGAGAAAGAGAACGAGAAGAGGACGAGGAAACGGATATAAGAAAAGAAGAAATAAGAAAAGCGGTGGCGAAACTAAAGGACCGAAAAGCAACAGGGGGAGATGAGATCCCCAATGAAGTGTGGAAATACGGTGGAGAAGAAGTAGTGGATTGGGCGTGGAAAATATGCAACAGGGTGTGGAGAGGTGAGGGATGGCCGGAAGGATGGAAGGAAGGGATAATCGCACCCATAAAGAAAAAAGGAGATGGGAAACAGGCATCCGACTACAGGGGGGTGACATTAATGCCCACGCTATACAAGATATATGCAGCGGTCCTGACTGAAAGGCTGAGAGAGGAAGTAGAGGAAAAGAGAATGTTGCCGGAAAACCAAACGGGATTTAGAAGAGGGATGGGAACAACGGACAATATCTACGTATTAAACTATCTGGTAAACAGACAGATAAAGAGGGCAAAAGGGAAAGTGATAGCTTTGTTCATAGACCTGAGGGCAGCTTTTGACTCAGTGGATAGAGGAGTCCTAATGGAGGCTCTAAGAGAAAGGGGAGTAAGGGAAGGGTTAAGAAAAAGGATAAAAGAGATCTTGAGGGAGACCAGAAGCAGGGTAAGGACAGGCGAAGGGACAACAGAACCATTCTGGACGGCAAGAGGAGTAAGACCACTGCTGTACAACCTGCTGACGGCAGACATGGAGGAGAAGATGAAAAAGGGAGGCGGAGGAGGGATAAAGATCGGAGGAAGGAAAATATACACTCTGGCTTACGCGGATGACGTGGTAGTTTTGACGGAGGAGGAAGGGGATATGAGGGTGCTGATAGGGAGACTAGAGAGGTACCTGGATGAAAAGAGGCTGGAATTGAATCAGGAGAAATCGAAAATAATGAGATTCAGAAAAGGAGCGGGAAGATGGAAGAAAGTGGAATGGTGGTGGAAAGGAAAGAAAATAGAAGAGGTAGAACAGTTCAAATACCTGGGGTATGTATTCAGGAGAAACGGAGGCAGCGAATTACAGGTAAAAGACAGAATCAAGAAGGCAGGAATCGCGATGAGACAAGTATGGGGGATAGGAAAAAGAAGATTCGGAAAAAACTGGAAAAGAAGAATTTGGCTATGGGATAAGCTAGTATGGACGATCATAGCATACGGAGCGGAAATATGGGGATGGAGAGAGCGGCAGGAGGTAGAGAGGGTACACGAGAGATTCCTGAGATGGACATTAGGAGTGGACTGGCGGACGCCAGGTTATCTACTAAGAGAAGAACTGAAAAGATGGAAAATGAGAATGAGAACCGGAAAGAGGGCATGGGATTACGAAAGAAAGCTATGGGAAGGACGGGGGGGAGAACTGGCGAAGAGCTGCTGGGTCCAAGTAATTGGAAATGAAACGAGGAGGGGTGAGGGTAGTAAATGGGAAGAAGAAAGGAAGAAGTTCTTCGAAGAGAGGGGACTGAAATTAGAGAAACTGGAGGAGAAAAGAAGTAATGGAGAGATGGGCTACGAAGAGCTTGAAGAAAGAGACAAGCAGATGCAAGAGGGAGAGAGGTGGAAAAAGATAACGGAATCGAGGTATAACAGGTGGTATAAGGTCATTATAGAGCCAGGAATACCGAGCTATCTGGAAAAAGGATGGAAGGAGGAAAGATGGAGAAGAATAGCCAAATTTAGATTGGGAAACGAGGTAAATGAGGCAAAATACTGGGGAAAAGAAGAGGACAGGAAATGTAGATTATGTGGCTGGGAAGAAGAAACATGGGAGCACATATGGGAAAGGTGTGCTGTCGGAGGAGAAGAAAGAAAAGAAGGATGGCAAGAGAGAGTGAGAGAGCTGCTGGGAGGAAGTGGGGAAGGAGAAGAATGGATGAAACAGTTAGAGAAATACAGGGCGGGAACTGGGGAAGGAGAAGAGACGCGGAGTGAGAAACAGAGAGAAGATAACGGCTAATGATGATAAGAAAGAAGGACAGAAAAGGAACAACAGACGACGTAGGAAATAAAAGAAAGAAGAAAGAGACAGACAGTGAAGGAAGGAAGATCGGTAAGGAAGTTAACGATAAGAGCAAGCAAAGGAAGAGGAAGAAAGGGAAAGGAGAAGAGGGGAGCATATTAAGCAGTAGAAACATAAGAACCGGAAAAGACAAGGTTGGCACCACTGGAAAACCAAGTGGGGTAAGAAAAGATGTAGTGGCAACACAAGAAAAGATAGGCTGGCAAGACGGGAAAAGTGCGTGGTACGTGCTGAGCATAAAGCAAGGGTAAAGAGCAATCCAGGACATTGACGAAGTTGGACAAAGGGGAAAGGAAGAAAAAGATTAAAAAAGGAAAAAGGAAAGAAAAGAGAAAAGATAAAAAAATAAAACAAGTTTAATAAGGAGGGAAGGGGAGTTACTGAAGGGAAGAAAGGATAACGATATGGAGAGCCAAGAGGAAGTACTGAGGGAGCTGAGAGGAATTAGAGAAGAAGTAAGGAGACTGAGAGAAGAAATAAAAGATTGGAGGCTGGAAAGAGGAATAAAGAGAGAAGGGAAGGAAAAGCAGGAGAGCGTAGAAGAAATAGAGAAGAGGAGAAGAGGACTGGAGGAAGAAGAAGGCAAGAGAGAAGAAGAAGAAGATGAAGCAGAAGGAGGAGGATGTGAAAACCAGATTGAGGTGAACGAAAATGCAGTAAAAAGTGAGAGGGAAGAAGCTAGCAAAGAGGAGGGGATAGAAGTGCAAGAAGTAGAGAAGGAAAGAAATAGTGGCGGAGAGGAAGAAAAAGAGAAGAATGGAAGAGAAACAATAGAAGAAGCAAAGGAGAAATGGAGAAGAAGGTCAGAGGGAGATGTCGACGAGCTGGAAGGAGAAAAAGAGTGGAGGAGAAGAATGGAAGCAGAAGGAACAATGAGAAGAAAAGAAGAGTGGGAAAAGATATGGGAGGAAAGAATAGAAGAAATAAGAAAGGAAAGGAGAAAAAGAAGTTTGATTTGGAAGGGGGTAGAGGGAAAGAACTTAGAAGAAAGATTGAAATATATCAAAAAGATATTAGAAAAAGAACTGGGACAAGAGGTAGTAATAAAAAGAGCAACAGAAAGGGTGGGAGAAGGGAGGAGAAATATAGTGCTGACAGAACTGGAGGATGAAGATCGCAAAAAGGAAATGGTATGGACAAAAAATGGGATCTGGGACAGATGGAGGGTTGCGGTTGACGAGGACCTGTCAAAAGAAGAGAGAAGGATGAAGTGGAGGATAAAAGAAAAGGCGAGAGAAGAAAGAAGAAAGGGGAACTGGGTGGAATTTAATAATAGAAGAATATGGATAGAAGGAGAAGAATGGAAATGGAACGAGAGGGCAGAAAAATGGGAAGCCAGCAGACAGAGGGACAGGAAATAAAGAAGAAGGACCGAAGAAAGGGAAGAGGACTGAGGGAAGCAGGAAAGAAGAGGAAAAGGCAAAGGAGAAGGACCAGAAAAGCAAAGAAGTATGGGAGGGGGAAAGGAGCGCAGGGAGTAAGGGACAGGGTCGTTAGGGAGTGCAATAGAAT